CGGTTGGAAATTCAGTGGGGTATCAGTATAAACTTGCAGTGACTCACAGAGAATGCTTAAATTATAATTAGTGAGGAGCTTTATGATAACTTTGGTTCATTATTTATTGCAAAGAAATTGCGGGTACGTTCTCAATTTATTTAATTATTTCATTTTAATTTCCTGTACGCAAAGATTAAAACGGGACCATATCGTTAAAACTTTGTTGTCCGTCCATCCTTTATTTTTAGTATGTTCCTTATTAGGCTGTATTTTATTTAGATATAGAACGTATCAAATAATTTGACGCGTTTCGATTTCAGTCTGTGGATTTCTAAATGTAAAAACCAAAAAAGCGGATCTTGTATGGGTGGAGTATTTTTATATTATTATCCTTCTCTGTCATAAAATAATAAATATGATGCCTCTCATCGAATTCTCCGTTTATTTCTGCGACTCGAACTTAGTGCTTTTATTCATTGCTTCCGATTTATGACACGTGTACGTTTCAATGTCTACTAGTCGCAATGAGTAATAAATGACCTAATCTTTAGCCATACCTCTTGAATATTTCCCAAATGTAAATCAACCGTGTCAAAACAGCAGAAATCTCAAAAGCGTGTCAAGAGCATTATTCAAGAGGACCGAGGAATGTTACCATATTAACGAATTAACATTTTACAAGGTAGGGTTCTCTGACGTCATTTATTTATGGTAATAAAAACTACAAGTACTAATGATTTTGTAGAGATTTATCGAAATAATGAATATTTTCGTAGCTAGCTGTATTGCAAAATTTGGATAGGCGTACACACTGACTTTAGCAGTTAAATTAGTATATAATTACATCAATGGTCTTTCACTTATGTATTATTAATATTTGTGTGTTGCCATATTGCAATAAAAATACATAGGTACGGATGTTGCCATTCGGTGTCTTTAATAACCGAATGACCTACTTTGTTTTTAATAAAAACCAAAATATAAATTTAAAAGTTTTTTACCTGGCAACACTGCAACCAATGCCGGGCAGTCTGACTAACGGTGTTTGTTCGTGAATATTCATTATTTATCTGTGACCGATAACATTGGCATCTGGTTTGCGCACGCACTAATCGTGAATTGATTGGGCTTTTGAATTTCGAACAGCGGTAGTGCGGAATTAGTGGCGATAGGTAGTGGACGATGGGAAAGGCCTTGTATATATTATATTTTATGCGTTTAATTTTATTACAAATATTTATAATTTGCTGATTTTATAATTTAATTTTTACAAACAGTTGAATAAGTTCTACACTTTTTTTATTGTAATTGTTGGCTGTTGGGTGAAGCTTAAAAAGCTCTCTTTTTTTTCGCTCTCCCTAAAGCATTGAGAAACCCTGCCTTATGGTAGCATATCTCTTTTTAGATAAAAAAGTGCTATTCAATTATGTGTATGCAATAAGGAGACAATTATGTAAAAACTCTACATCATAATGAAGTAATTTGTATCATTATTCCATAATTTTAATACGGTAATTTAAGCGCAATGAGGAAGCGCTCGATGCAAACAAAGCTTTAATGGAACCATGTTTAGAAAAACTACATTTTCTGCGTCATTTGAGCGACACTGCCATTCATAGAAATCGGAAAAAAGTGTTGACGTCAGAACTAATGTATATGACGTAGAATCCGCTTCATCGGACTCGTCAGACACACTACCGTGTCCGTATCACCGGTATACAAGCGGTGTAAGAAGTAAAAGTTATTTAAAGGTTCTTCACTCATTCTAAGCTCTCGGGTCCAAAGAAATCGTGTAATTAATGTGATTATGTAGAAACTATTCGACAATTGCCGTTTTCCTTAGGAATGCACATATCGATGTCTGGTGCAGTTTTCCCGTCGCGAGGGCGCCGCTACTCGGCGCCAGGGCAGTCTCTGCTGTACTAGAGACACCACATTATAATAATCCTAGGATTATTTTTTCTCATTTGTAGATGTAACTTGACGTATCACGAATACGTACGCGTTTCAAAACACTATTTCTTGGCGTTATAATGTGTAAAATCCCTGCATAAGGGAGGAGGAGGCATAAGGAAGACATATCTGTGTTCGTTATAGTTAAGAATTCTGTGCTCCGCTTGGCCATAGTTACATATTATTATTTTTTCTCCAGAACCGCGCTAACGCAATACGTTGTATTAGCCCAAGGATGTACTTTGAATTCAGTTAAGTCCTGTTTATTTTGATAACAAACACTACGATAAAATACTGTCTATGGTATATGCGAGTATACACATTTGAATAAAACACTTTAAACAGTTTAGAACGCAAAATATGTTAGTTAAACTTATTTAAGAATTATTTTAACGCTACGCTAGGCTAGTGCTATCTTTCCATCGTAGTTGGTATTTGGCGACTAATATATTTCGCATTTTAAACCGTTAAAGTGTTTTATTTAAATAAACACTTTAACGGTGCAAAGATAACCGTTTATATGGGTAGGTATACAAAGAAAGTTAGCCCACAAAAGGAGTTTTTGTTTATTGTTTAATAATGTTTGAACTGCTTTCGACAAATACTTATAAAGATTTTTCAAATACTACCGCGTCGATATACAAGTACAGATATATTAGCATAAAAAATAAATCACAGTGTCCCTACTCACCGTCTCTTCTAGTCACAGCGAGTTTCTTTCTATTATAATCTACTATACGTGTAATATGGACATCACAGGTACAACTCTGTCTACAATAATTGGCTTGCGTTCTTTTGCGTGTGGGGACATGTGCACGTGCAATTTTTCCCCACTGTTTACGAGATCCGGAATTTATCTATTGTTTATTTTTAGAGAAATGTATCTTTCTAAGAAAATCTTTTCAAACAACTTAGTCCTCAAACTCCTTAAATAAATAGAACTTTTTTTTTCAAATATATAAGTAGGTGTGTAGGTTACGTTGTCCTATGGTGTCCAAAAGAGTTAAGTAAAAAATTTTCGCTTTTTAATGTAAAAGTGTTTTATTTAATCGACATTTGAAATCATATGACATAACAAATCCAATATTATTTGATGAACTTGGGGGTATAATATTAGAGTTTGGGCAGATTAAGTGCCCCTAAATGGGAGGGGGCCGCTGCGGGTAGTTCTTATATTACTATTTTCTAGTAATCTTTTGCAACAAGTCCATATTATATAGTAAGAAAAGTTGCAGGATACACCAGTGGCCCGTGTGTTGGGACCTTAAGAAATACGTTATTACATGACATAAATATATCGAGGCAAAAGGTTAACATCTAATACGATTTAAATGCAATCAAAAGTAGTAAGTGCCGTTGTAAATCAAAATTAATTGATTCTCATCCTCAACACGGTATCGCCGTATTGACAGCCAATCATGTCATTGAAATTATAATTGCGGGCAATTATTAAAAGATGTTGCATACACTTCGATGTGGCTAATAGCTTTGATTATGTTGTGAGTTTGTGTACTGATCTTTTGCGAAACTTGTTAGTTAATTGCAAAATCTCACGTTATTAAAAACTTGGCCCTGTAGCTCAATAGTTGAGATCTAGAGTAAGAATTCCGGATATATATTTATTGGTTTGGTCAGGCACGGTACAGAAGTGTAAGATAATTTAATATCTATCCAAAAAATCAACCAGTGATTTAATATGTTTTATTGGTCCTGTCTCCTGCCCCAAATATGTTTTTTTATAATATAGAGGAGGACAAACAAGTATGTGGTTCACTTGATGGTATTTGAAACACCCCAGCCATATAACATCCCAATAAGATGCGCACCTATTTTGGTGTTATATATAGATGACTAGCTGTACCCGCGACTTCGTCTTCGTTTACTAATTTATGTAAGGGCGCATTTAAGGCAGCCAATCTATATTGTTAGTGCTACTTTGCCGCAACACTCTCACCTCACATCACTCCTATACCCAAAAAGCCAAAGAATAAAGTTTCTAGCTTCAAAAACCACGAATTTCCATATCAACTTTCATCCCCTTTTTCAACCCCTATTAACCCTTATTTGGGATTTTAAAAAAAACAAATTTCATTTAGATCAGTTCAGTAGTTTCGGAGTTGAAGCCGGACAGACAGACAGAGTTACTTTCGCATTTATAATACATTAATATAGATAGATGAGAATTGCATTGCTATTTAAACTCTATGTTATAAGCCTTCGTCATAGGATCATTGTGTAGAAAATTCTTTCTGTATTATCGTTTTTTTAATTACAGATGACAAACCCACACTTACGTATTAACTATGTTTTTCGCTCGTTAGCAAGTCTCAGTAGCTAGTTCTCAAGTTATTATAATTTTTATTAACATAAGTGGTTAAGCATTTTTGACATGTAACATTCGGTGTGCCAGCGACCTTTAGCCTCAGTAATGACTCGTTTCCGACCAGAGTGGGTCATGACAATACTACAATTATGTCACAGCTGTGAGAAAATTAGTTATTAGTATTACGTGTTACTTTACAATTTTTTTATGTCAATTATATTAAAAATAATATAATGTTTAAAAGTAGACACAATACTTAAGAACAACATCTAAATCAAATTTAATATTGACATCGTAATAAATTTCTATGTATCGACATTTTTATATTTGTACCTTATGGTGAAGTAACTTGTCATCGAAATAAACAATTTCGATTGTTTGACAACATGTTTGATTTATACGTCGGATAGTCGAGTCACTGTGCCCTTTCCACCTTAATAACTTTAAAAGCTTTTTTGTTAGTGACATAATCCGGACTTGATAGTATCTTTTTACTTTTTATAGTTATCGCGTTCAATTTGTTAAAGGTATCGCTTGTTTTATTACGACATAGAATTATGTAAGAGACGTTTTTAGAAGACCATTATGTTTAATTAACCTTAAATAGTCGAAACATTCATATTATTACTCTAAGTATGGTGGTATAATTAAGTTAACAGCGACAACTAACTTTGTTACGTAAGATTACCTTATTTACTATAACTTTAATTTCAACTACAATAATTTATGTTTTCTTTTTCAGGTAGTACAACCGATCTCACACCAACGTTAATCGGCATTTATGATGCTTTATTAGAACCAGCGAAGAGCCTAAGACCAGAAGCTATCCGTCTAGAAACAGCCAAAGATGCTAGGAACGATCCACCACTACTCGAAGCTATGACAGAAAAAAAGGACAACGAGGACACAATTTGCTCCAGCCCACCGAAAGACCCAGCAAAGATCATAGGAGGCGTTAAACTCCCTATAGCCTCTCTAAACGCATCATCATTATATAATCTTCGTACGAAAAATGACTGTGGTGTTAGTGACAAACGAGGCATACCCAGTGATGACAAAACACAAAAGACGTTTAAAGAAACAAAGACAGATGCCTTCGATAATCTATCGCCAAATGTTAAACGCATGCTTTCAAGTGCATCACAGACTACAACGTTACGTTTTCAAAAGAAAACAACAAATATTACGAGATCTTCTATCAGAAAGTGTAACATTCCTTTGGTCGGCGCCACGTCTAAAATTTCACAATCGGGAGTAGAAATCTTATCCTCGGTTGACGTGTATGATCAACCGTCTGCATTGAAATCTCCTCACAAACAACCAGATGAAAAGAATGAATCTCCACAAAAGCTCGCTAAGCCTATATTTAAAATCGACGAACCTGAAATGTATGATGTCCCTAAGAATAATCAACCCGCCATTTATGATGTACCAAATAGTAATAAAACAGCATTTGAATCTCTTTCGTTGCCATACATCGATCAATCCATCGAACTGTCTATATCAGCTAATGATAGAGAATTCGATATAAAATTATCTTCAAAAGATAATTCTCCTTTAAAACCTGAAATCACTTCAACGCCCCAAACATCTCCAATCAAGTTTCCTAACGAAAGTATGCCTAGAAAAGAAAGTAAAGCTTCAAAACACCTCTTAAAATCGGACCCTTATCCCCAAGCTGTTGGATCGACAGGGAATTTAAGGCCTGAGAAGGAAATGATTAGATTAAATCCACCTATTCAAGTAACAAGACCGCTATCAATGAGTTCCATTGCTTCATCCAGTTCAACGTCCAGTAGTGGAGTCCAAAACAAAGGAGGAGTGAATTCAGCCTATCTCGCTTCCATAGAGAGTCTAGATGACCATAGTGACGCTGATTTAACATCTGGTAATGGCAGTAACATCTTTATGAACAGTGCTGGAATGCTTAAGACCAGTATTTCGGAAGAGAGTCGAACTGAGACAATAACTAGTAAGTATTTCTTATAAAGACTCTTTACGTGCCCATAAATATTGATTGAATATTAGCAGGATCACGTTAGTTAGATAGACTGTTTCATCTGTTATATTTATCCATCTATATTTAACCAAGTGCCCGTATTTGTCAGGGCAGAATTTAGAAGAGTTGTCCGGACTGTCGCAGCTGGAGAGGGTTTGTGCGGAAATAGTACAGACCGAGAATGTTTACGTCGAGGATCTGAGACAAGTGGTTGAGGTGAGCAATATGTTTCATTCCGAATAAACTGTATTCTATTACTTTACACGTTTCCATTTTTAAATTTAAGCAGTTTAGCTTCCTTCTATATGGTATTAAAATTTATAGGCTGACTTGGAGGAAGGGAATCACACAGATGGGCAGAGTAACGAGTCCCATAATAGTTATTTACTTCGAAGATATAATAATGCCCTTATTAAGATTATATAAATGATTATATATTATATTATTAAAATCTCTATTCAAAAATAACATTTAATTATAGCGTCTCATCCCATCTCAGTCTTTTTTGTTGTATTTGACTTAACCCAAAAACATTCACCGCTAAATATAAACAATTAGTAACAAATAAACCAGGAAGTATTAGTTATAATGGAAGGATTGCGTAAAGTTCAGTCAAATATAAACACAGAAAGAGGTGTGAATTGGAACGCATCTGATATTTCAAAGACATAGGAAATGGCGGGAACGCAAAATAAACAAATGTCCACCAAAACGGTTAATTTAGTGGTATTAAGAAGTTTCAAATATTTGATACATATAGATAGCATATCTTTTGTCTTTATGTATTTAATTTGACTTTTTAGGCATCATTTTAGAAATAATACAAGTTTAAGTGCCCATGCTTTTTACGAAACTTTATGGATAGTAATATTCTTTATTGTAAATATTTATTTTAATAGAGGGAGTAATATAATCGATGGTACAATTCAAAAACGTGTTTTTCCTACTTAGACTGTCATTTAAAATAGAGAAATGTTCATAATATTTGCAGTTAAAAAGTATTTTCTCGACATCATGGTTTCGGTCTGTTTGTACTTAGTAGAGGCGTGAAGTTTTCGTGTTTACTGCGGTATTTCTTAGCAACTCGGAAACGTTTCTTTCAAGGATACATAATTATTGATTTTTGCGATATAGCCGCTCTACTTTAAGATAATATGAAATCTGAAGAAGAAGTAATATTATGACTATTATCTAAAAAATGGCATTACTAATTACCTTCGTAAGTTCGGTCCTTGATCATACACTGTATTTATCTTTCTGTCATTTACCTTCACGCAATTAGCTGAAACTCGCTAATAACTGCGTGATTTAGATGCACAAATTGTTGTCAGTTATGAATCTGTTACTAATGATAAGAAGTTTGAGAATCTCTGTTAAAAAGGGCTTTCATGTTATACCAGGAACCATTCGTTAAAATGGAAATGGACTCTGATTACTAGTAATTAGAATTTCATAGATAAGAAAGTATGCAATAACAGTAACCCCTTAAAGAGAAATTTTCTCATCAAATTAAATATAGTTTTAATATGGTCCTGTGACTCTCATGATGGATTGCTTCAACCGATCCAAGAGAACCTCCTACTTGAATATTTAGTTTGATTAAACGGATCATAATATAGTGGTGTTATTTTATGGCAACACTGCATTTGCTTAACAATTTCAGCTCTATCGTCAAGTGTTAGAGGCGTATGTCCTGATTTTGGTTTTTATGGGTAGATACCTGTATATGCTTGTACCTAACGGGATACATCCTAATAAGGGATGATAGGACAGACTGTTTTTGCTAATCGTATCTAATGGTTCTAGGCTATGTTCGTTGCGTCTTATAAATCAGCATTTCAAAGATGTTTTAAAATGGCCTCTGCTTTGATATACGGTTATGGCTAACGCTACTGTACTGAGTAGTAACTAGAAGTAATTCCAATTTTGAAAATATGGTATTCCTATCACAAATGTATTTTTACTATTGCTCTTTTCATTGTCAAGATAGTTTACTTTAGGAAAGAAAAACATCTTGTAGTTCAAAGTAAAGCTTAATTGAATCGTGTTGTAGTAAGTTTCATGATATCTTTACTACAATCCCCCAGAAATTAGGACTAATTTAACAGCGACAAATTTAAAAAACATTCATTACAACATTCGTTACAATTACATCAAAAAAATTATAACTATTAATTTAACGCTTACTAAGGCTAGATGAACATTTATTTACAACTGAAGCCGGTGCTACGCCAATTCCGTCTTATATAATTAACTAGCAGATACTTTAGGCATGTAAATCAAAGTAAAATCATGAAAATTAAAAAAAAAGCTTTAGTAATAGGTATAGCTTACACCCTTCCCTGTTAAAAAAAGTAAGCAAAACCAATTACTACTCTAAGCAAAGGTATAACCCCCATAATGCCTCCTTGAAAAACTTTTAAATACGACTATAATCACCATTGTTTCTACTATTTATGTTAAGTAGCAGACTTCGATAAACAAATAATTTACACTATGAAAAGTGCATGTATCAATAGGTTGAAATAAATAGTCGATGACGTGTAGGACACGGTAGTTTCATTTGTTAGGACAATAGCACGGGACGCTGTGGATGTCGGCTCAAGTCCCGCTCGTGTTGTAATTTTTTTCAATCTCATAAATTCAAATCAAATCGATTTTTAAATTAAGAAAAGTAACTATTATCTCGTGAAGTGGTATAAACAGTTGCATTTGGTCTTTCAATAATTTAGAACAACGTGGGAGGCTGCGCCTTGAATACCGCTCGACCAACGATGTCGTTTAAATCTTAATTTTAAAGTCATCATCAAATCTATTTTCTCTTTTGCTTGCGTTTCATTTATGGGTACTATTTGTGACAATAACATACCTACTGATTAGGATAGATTTAACTAACGTTGAATGTTTTCAGTGCTTTTTTGTCTTAATAATTGTTAATTCGTTAGTTTTGCCATATGAAGTATTTTGATTTATGATTTATTTTCCCATATGAAACGTATTTAATTCCCATAAAAACGGTTGTTGTAAGTTAATCTTAAATGGTAGACACTCACCGTTACGGATACCCTCTTGATTAGATGAATAACTTTCCCGGTTTGTTCCACATTCTCCACTATTTCTTCGCTCCTGTTGGTCGCAGCGAGATTTTCTATAGCCTAAAGCCTTCCTCGATAAATGCTTTAACCAACCATGAATTTTTTCAGTTCTCACAAGTAGATCTAAGATTAGCGCGTTCAAGCAAACAAACTTCAGCTATATCACATTAGTATAGATTCTATGTTTGTTTCACTATTTTTAAGGGCGACATTCATATGTTTTTAGACTTAAGGTGGCAAACAAATAATGTCAATAAAGCGTGGGATTAAACATCATGAAAGCGTCTAAGTTAAGGTAGGCGTGTTACAGTTATATTATTGGATCAATTTAATGCTCTCGTGAATGAGTTTATGCGATGTATACCTGCGCCCGCGCATGCTGATTTTTGTTAGGGCTGCCCGAAATCGGTGCTAAGTAAATGTCTTACATATAACAATATAATCTTAAATTTTTTTTAAATAAAACCATCAGCCCTATTACAGTTTACCGCTACAACTTTAATCGGGAGAGTTTTTTGAAACCCTTAGGGCTTAGATAATAGATACAAATTATAAATGATTTGTTGTTTCCTTGTTTTCATTAAAACAAAAACACATTTTTAGTTATTCGATGAGAATCCCATGTCCTTCATATATTTCTAAAATAATAACGAATAATTACGGCCCGGCAAAGCATCCGAAACGTCGAGCCGAAGTTAAAAATCATTATTCAAATTAGTTTAAGCTAATATATCGATGCTTAGTTTTCGACAACGGACAAAATAAATAATTCATTAAATTATGTTAAGCAGAAGTAGTTTTATTGCTGGATGAAATGTCTGCTACTGCGTAAACATAAGGTATAGACAACGGATGTTGATTTAACCTCTTACGTAGCTCTGTTTTTGTAGAAAATTGCTTTACAAGCATCAAAAAAAAAAAAAAAGAAAAAAAAAAAAAAACCCCCAAAAAAAAATTGAAAACCCCCCCCCCCAAAAAAATATGAAAAGGTTAACGCGGAACTTATTTAGAAATGATTTTTAACTTCGGCCCGACGTTTCGGATGCTTTGCAGCAGCCGTGGTCACGGGGAGACCCGTTAAAAATCATTTCTAAATAAGTTTAAGTAATAGATCGCGTTTTAAACCGTTAAAGTGTTTTATTTAAATGTTTGTCCTTTGTTATTAAAATAACGCACACGTTGGCGTTAATTCAGCTTCTAATGAAATTTATCATTCCATGTCTGTATGTTGACTATACTCGTTTAGGCTAAACTACTAAACATATATAAATATACATGATCGTGACTCACGGTCACTTTCTAGTCATGGTGACAATGACAACGAACCGGCCGCGGCGTAACTGCTTGGGTATTGTCTGTGCTTCCCGTCCTATATGTATATCATTATACTAGCTGTGTCAACGACTTCGTCCGCGTAGAATAGTTATTTTGGGTGTCAAAATTTGTTTTTGCTAACCTCCTCATCCGACCACGTCGTTCTGCTCCCGTTGTCCTTGCAAGTTAATCTTAAAAGATAGACCTATACTTACCGTCGCTGGCATTTATTTAGATAATTTAAAAAGGAATCATTATTTCGTCCGTATTGTTTAGGTATCTTAAACGTTTCCGCAGGGCACGCAACGAAAACTCCTTAAAACGAATAATTTCCCAGTTTGTTCCACATTTCCCGTTTCTTCGCTCCTATGGTAGCAGCGTAATGTTTTATAGCCTAAGTGCTATAACCGATACAAAAAGAAACAATTCGAACCAGTAGTTCCTGGGATTAGCGCGTTCAAACAAACAAACAAAATCTTTAGCTTTATAACAGTAATATCAGTAGATATTTTGGAGGATATTTTGAGATTTAAAAACATATGTATATAAATGTAAATTATTTGAGTGTAGATTACACAGTCATTACGCAAGAATCCTTGTTAAGTTAGCACAGCATTTTGAACTATTCTAAGTCAATTTTTAGTCCAGAGTTAGGAAGGAAGTGCTTCAGAGATCACGTCCATTAAGTAAACCTTTTACTGCGATAAGACCCACGAGACGTCCCTCTATGGGAAAATACGGTTGAAAGATGTAATTCAAAGACATGGATTAAATAAAGTTTTAAATATGTTTTCAGGGCTATCTTCATGTCTGGCGGCGCGACTCCACCTTTTCCGAAGACGAGCTATCAGAACTTTTCAATAACATAGAGGACATCTATGCATTTAATAAGTGAGTATTTTTTTAATAACCTCTTACTTATAAATAAAACACTTTAACAGTTTAAAACGCGATATATTAGTTAAACTATATAAAATCATATATCGCGTTTTAAACCGTTAAAGTGTTTTATTTAAATGTGTACTACTCGCGTAAACTATAGACAGTATTTAACCTCTTAAGTACCTCTGTTTTTGTAGAACATTGCTTTACAAGCATCACTATCGCCCTGCGAGTTGATACTTCGTATTGAAAGTCCGTCTGTATAGAAAGAAATTTAATTTTGAGCCTTTAGTTTTTAACTGGTGTGACATTCATAGTGTACCTCGTTACCTCAGCAAATAATAGATTTTTTGCTTTTGACTTTGACAATGTTCAGTCTAGAATCAATTGTATTGATTACATTTCATTTGAAAATAATGTGTAGTATATAATTAAAATAATAGACGTTAAACAGAAACGGAAAAGTGGAAATGTAGAAAATATAAACAAAATACAGAATGTGTAATAAAACATATTTGAAAAGTAACGATAAAATCGATATATATATATTCGTTAATTTATTGAAAATATTCCAGATGTTTACAAAGTAAAGAAAGTAACATAAATCAACAAATTATCCGTGCTTATACTTTAAGGACTCACAAGGGTGAACAAATAAAAGCAAAAAGGGTCCTCCAAAGGTTGGATGAAAAGGGGAGGTTTTGCAATCCACATCACAATCCCCAATACATCGCTTTCAATCTGGATTGCGATTCGGATTTGTAGTGAAATCTGGGGATAGATTAAAACCATTGTACTTTTCTCTTGCCTAAAAATGAATACATATTTTGTTTATGATAAAAATGGACAGGCAAGATGGGGTTCACTCGATGGTGGAAAAACCCAAGTCATATAACATCTAATATTTATTATATTATATTAGAATCAACAAAAACCGAAACGCGATTACTCTTTATGTCTATGGATTTCTATATTCAGATTTCCAGACAAAGTCCAATATGTTTTCTAAAAATTATGAATTGATTAGAAAAAAGTTGGACGCGGTGGGGATCGACCCCAATCGTTTTTATGGTAAGAAAATTTGGTTGAAATTAATGCTTTATTATCAACATAAAAATAATAATTTGGAAAACAGTAAAATAACGTATGCCAGACCAGCTTGTTAAAGATACAGTCTCATAACGAATGAGCCAGGCAGGCAATATAAATACAGATAAATAAACCAGCATCAGGATACCAATGTGGGTTGTAGGATGAAAGTGTCGACCGCTCTTTCGACCAGTTACCGCATAATATACTTTACATGGCATTTTAACTTGACACTTGGTTGACTTTCAGCTCGCAGACATTTGATATCGCTTCTATTATACGGTCAACAAGTATGTAACTGGAGCTCTTAGATTTCAAAAGGCCGATTTCGAGTTATGCAATTTGATAAGACACATAATACGACTCCTGAAAAAAAAAACACTTAATATTGTTTCAAATATAATTATATAATTCAATAATCAGGAAATTGTCTGTTACACGAGTAGTACACATATAAAACATTTTCAATGGCTTAAACGCGAACTATATTAATCAGGAATGTTTTGTCTAAGTTACGGTACACGTTAATATAAAACACTTTGAATGGCTTAAAACCAGAAGTATATTAGTTTTTTTTTATACTACCCAACGTTTTGGATACTTTGCAGCCACCGTGATCATTGGACGTCGGGACGTATTTAAAATAAATTTAAAGCAAATTTAAAGAATATATACTCTACAGTTTTTAATAACTTTTTGACATCAACCACCGATCGATAAAAAGTAATCAGTTTTTTGACAGAGTGCGACAATTGTTCTGTGGAGGTTCTCTTTAGACATTGTTGTACCTTCGGAATTCCATTTAGTCCGATCGCTGATTTTTAAAAATAAATCACATCAGTTATAAATTTTGTTTGCTAGCCATGCTATCTACTCTATCCCAATAATTATATATTATTCCTTTGGTGAGCGCCAGACAAAGTAGTTTATAAATGTATCGGAGATAGAATATATCAGTGAATATTGATCATTTCTTTATAGTACAATTTCAAAACATGAACAGTCTCCCCGTGACCACGGCTGCTGCAAAGCATCCGAAACGTCGGGCCGAAGTTAAAAATCATTTTCAAATAAGTTTAACAAATATATCGCGTTTTAAACCGTTAAAGTGTTTTATTTAAACATGAATACGATTTGAAGAAGTTTTCATTAAAAAAAGTTGGTATAAGTCTCCAATAAAAATATGCTTTTGAAGAACGAAAAATACAATATAAAAGTAAAGTTTTAATGTAAAAAAACGACAGTATCCTTACATCCATATCGTTGCTTAAAAAGTCACGTATTTTTGGCGTAAATCGTCGAAACAATAAAGTTCCCGATAAGTTTAGTAAGGTCACTCACTGGTTATTGCTTAAGACTACGTACGATCTTTTCCATTACGAGCGAAACTCAGGTCTTATTCTTTAACATTCGATATACTTGTATTCTAGAAGATGATATTTTGGTTTAATGTTTTTATTCTACTAAAACTTATCTCTATATTTCGTTATACTATTTGAGCTTGCTAGTTTATTAATAATTAATAGGTAACTGCTTTGTCCGCGTTTTATTTCTGAAAACAATTACGATAACGCTTATGAATGCACTACATTATGCACATGTGTACTAATATTAATTTTAGATCGATCGGCCTTATAGATCGGCATTATTGATGATATTTTTTTTAGGCGTTTTTTGAGAGAATTATTCCACAGCTCCGAATGTTGGTAATTCTTGACACGTTTACGTTATATCGTATTCAAATAACAAGACGTGTTGAATTTCAAATGTTTTTGTAATGTGGAAAAGTATTTGGTTATATGACTGTTTTACTTAACCTAGAGATTTGTTGAACTAACATAATGAAACAATTGATGCTAACGTGTAAGTTTTGTTGTTTTTACAGGACGGGTTAAATGTAATTCTTGTTAAAAAAAAATGGTCCAAGTCCGAGAGGGCACAGATAATAAAAAATGACTTTCCGCTAAATTAAATTGACATGTACATGGTGTTATTAACATTTTATGGCACAAGAAGGCTGTTAGAGCAGGACAGACGAGCACGGGGTTCCCTTGATGGGCGATGAAATACCCAACCATAAAATATCTCAGCACGATGCGTGGTCGACCTATTTTGTTTTTTGACATTCGTTAATCCGCAGACTGGATCGAAAGGCATAGATCAACGACTTTTTTTTTGAATGAAATCTCACTATTTCAGTGACAGAGTCTAAAAGTAATGTTTATCAAAATACTGTCCCTAGTTTACACAAGTAGTACACATTTAAATCACTATCGGTTTTAAACGCGAAATATATTAGTTAAACTTGTTTGAAAAGTATTTAAACTACGGTCTGACGTTTCGGATGCTTTGCAGCAGCCGTGGCCATGGGGAGACTATCTATTATCCTATTTAAACTTTTTTCCTCTTTTTACAGATCCCTCTGCGCAGAACTGAACTCCTGTCAATTAGACGCAACCTGCATAGCTCGATGCTTCGTCAACAATACAACGGGCTTCTCGGTCTACACGTCCTACTGTACCGGTTATCCCCGCACGATGGAGAGGTTGGCAGCCCTGGCTTCGAAGCCACAAAGCGCGAGGGAGTTCAGGGAGAAGCAAGTGGAGCTGAGTCACTCGTTGCCACTCGCTTCGTATCTTCTGAAGCCCGTGCAACGGATATTGAAGTATCACTTATTGTTACAGGTTTGTATTATTGTCGTTTTCTGTCTTAATCATTATGCAAGTATATTAGGTGGTAAGTTTGATTATTGTGACAAATGGTCAATTTCCATATATATTACTAATACTACTGCTAGCCGCCTCTATAGCCAAATGGTTAAACGTATTGCGTTAAGCGCGAGAGGTCCTGGGTTCGATTCCCAGGGAAACAAAAAAATGTTTCGGTCAGTCAGGGCACAGAAGTCTGATCAGTGAGACGGACACAGAAATGTTTCGCCCCATGCCCGACGAGGGGGAAACGAGATTTCACACACTAGGAGTGTGACCTGGCAAACCTGCTTTTGGCATATTAATAGTTCGGACAAAATCTGATTTCCATTAAAACGGTTCTTGTTAGTTAATCTTAAAAAATGGAGAAATATTTTGGCAAACTTTTTTGTTATTTAAAAAAGAATAATTAGTTTTTTTACATATTTTGGGTTTATTGAACCGTTTTCGCAGCGCACGCAACGGTAGCCCTCAAAGAAAAAAAATGCGTTTTTCCACGTTGCTATTATACTGTTTCTACGCTCCTATTGGTCGTATTCCTCGATAAATTATTTTATTAAAGATAATCATTATTCTTCCCAGAACGTAGTGAAGCAGTGCGCGTCTCGAGAGACGGAATACGCCTTGCTGAAGATGACAGGTATAGCCCAGCATATAGACGATATGAAGCGGCGGCACGAACACGCGGTTAGAGTTCAAGTAAGTACATATTTACAAGATTTACACATACATGAGATTAGTGGAATTCCATCACAAGTTACAATCAGTCTTCAGTTAAACCGATATATATCCAAAGCTAAGAAAGTTAGACAGCGCATCTTGTTTAAATGCTGAGGGTTTTCACCTATCTTCCCCCCTTGTGATCCCCATGTCTGTCCTCCTCTATCATTAAAAAAAACATGAAAAGAGCCGCCATCGTTACCGTTACTCGGTAGCTTAATTGGTTCGAGCAACAGCACGAAACGCCGACGATGCCGGTTCAAGTCCTGCCCGAGTTGCAATTTTTTTTCAATTATTTTCGACTTTTAATCTATATAGTTGTTGAGTGGTCCTGATCAGTCTTCCGACCCCAAACAACATTTCAAAGAGTTTCCGGGATTTTAACGCGGAGTTGTTATAGCGAGTTTTATAAGTGAGTCATTTTAACCGCTATATACAAACACATATTTATATTTAATACATTGTTTTTCTTTACTAACAAAAAGAGATATCGCGTGCGGCGTAACTCGTAATTTGCTGTCCCTTTCTTTGTGACGTCATATCTACTTATTTTAGCTATTTTTTAATACTAATTCATAATTGTTCAGGAGATCCAGTCGCTGTTATATGGCTGGAATGGTCCAGACTTGACGACCTACGGAGAGCTGTGCGCTGAAGGGACATTTAGGTAAATTTAATAATTAATATTTGTAACAGCAATGATTATTTTAAACTATATAAAAAGAGGTATAAAATACAATATGTAGATAGTTCGTAAATGAATACTATAAAGTATTGTTTGAAGCTTACGCCGGTAGTGCACATTTAAAATAAGACTTGACGTTTAAATAAAACACTTTAACGGTTTAAAACGCCATATGTTAGTTAAACTTATTTGAAATTTATTTTTAATTTCGGCCCGACTTTCGGACGCTTTGCAGCAGCCGTGGTCACGGGGACACTAAAGATGGAGGATGTCTCTGACGTCAAAGTAAAAAATTACTACGCTAGCACTATCTGTTCTGTTGAAGTTGGTATTTGGCGAATCTGACCGGGTCCTTACATCGCGTTTATACATCGTATTTTAAACCGTTAAGTGTTTTATTTAAATTGTCTTGACGGTTTAAAATAAATTATCTATGGAAATTATTAATGGGTTTTGAAATATAAGCTAAGTAGCTTTTTTAATTCATAGTTACCTAATATATTCTGCGTTTTAAACCGTTAAAACTTCTATTTAAAAAAAAATATGATCGATTAATACAATGATAATCTCTGCATATAAAGTCTTTATATGATTGTCAAATATTCTACACACAAACAATTTCATAACACTTTTAAGGTGATGGCTGTTGCAAAGCATCCGAAACAGTGGGTCGTAGTTAAAAAAACTCAACTAATATTGTTATAATATGAGACTGCTAGAGGGCATGCAAAAAACATGATTTTCAATAAGGAGGAAAATAAAAATGCGCAATATACGGCCTAGCTTTAAGGTTTTCTGTAAAAAAAAAAATAAAAAAAAAATACTTAGGCGAAGATGAATTTGTACTTTATTTGTGTATGAATTATGTTGAAACTTTCGGTCACTGCGCTCTTGTAGATTAACATTTTTAGACTATAAAAATATAAATAATTCAAGTAATTTAGGCTACTTTGCCTCTCGCGGCCTCATATATAAAATAGGCTTGTTACAATAAATCATACCTACATAATATTTTGTGATTTCAGAGTTTTCGGCGCGAAGGCGATGCGTCACGCCTTCCTCTTCGACAAAATGCTTCTTGTCACGAAGAATCGAGATGATGGGATCTTGGCATACAAGTCGCATATCATGGTTAGTACATGATCCTAGTTCCTATGTACTTTGTAATGGATGTGTTGTGACCATAAGATTTTAAAATGCTTAAAGCTATGAAGATCTAGTTATCAATCTTTTTAAAAATTGTTGAAAATTGTTTTACTTACTTCGTCAGCTAACACATTTGTTGCTTCCTCGTAATTTTAATATTCACTACGACGAAACAGGTGGCGCTAGCATAGCACATTTGCCATTGACATTAGTTACACCCTATCATCAATTCTCCCCATGTACCTAGCTAAAGCCATGTCGGATGCTTTACCCGACACATCGGGCCACAGTTTTAATATATTAAAAATAAATATACCATTATATGTTACGTTTTAATCAGTAAACAGTGTTGGCTTTGCCTTAACATATTTTCATTACCATATCATTTAAACTGTAAAATTACAATTTACATTTTCTGGTAAAAATATCTGTTGTTATTCAAACACAGATTTTTTTATCATAAAATGTAAATATCATATTTTGTTTGATTTATTTTCTTATGTCATACTTGTTTGTATTCAGTGTAACAACATGATGTTGGTGGAATCGATAGCCGGTGCCCCCCTCTCTTTCCACGTCATACCGTGGGACGCACCGCGCGCGCAGCTCACGTTACAAGCGCGGTCGCAACGACACAAGCGAGAATGGACCTTATTACTAAAACGGGTAAGTTACTTATATCAATAAAATTTGCTTTAAAAAGTCTAAACGAAAACGTCATTGCTATTGTTGCAAATAACGTATTGAATATTTTATAGGTGATATTGGAAAACTACAATGCCGTAATTCCATCTCACGCTAGGCAGCTAGTAATGGAACTTGGACAAAATAAAACGGACGGTATGTATATTATTTATTCCAATTTCATATACACACAAATAACCATTTCCTAAAAAGTATATTTTTAATTTCTATAATCAGACACATTTAGTTGAGATGAATTTTAATCAAGGTAACTTTTTCAGATGACATACTTGCTGAAAAATCGCATAATTTAATCACACAAGCATCTATGCGAAAACAACTCTCTGCGCCGGAGTATCTTGAAAAACGGAAACTAGAAAGAGAACGACGGAAATCCTTTGAAAACGGTAGAGGTCGAGCTAAAAAATCTTATCGAAAAACTATAGAGCGTAGTTCAAGAAGTAGAAGTCAAGACTGTGATTGCGCACAAGTTTCTGCTGAAAAGGGCATGGACTACACTTGTGATAATTGCTATATAGATCTGTGTTCAGATTGTGAAATGGCACTAGCAAAAGACAAACGAGGGGATAAATGTGATTGTCAAAATGTAGAAGAAGATAAATGTCCAGAATGCGACCGGTCTCTCCACTTCATTGACTCCGGGAGTGTCGAAGATATAGAAAGAAAACCAACCTGTAAGTGTTCAGATTTTAAATCATCCCAAGAAAGCTTTTGCAAAGAATTTAAATCCTTGAATAAAACTAGAAATTACCATTCTTCGGATAATATCGTTGGATATGATACAAAAAACAAAGATAACATACCCGATTTGACTACTGTGAAAATACAAAAGACATGTCTCAAATGCGCCAAAATAAAAGAAAATATACCAGTGACTGATTCGATGGGCACATTACAAGTTAGAAAGTCAAGGTATGTTGAAAACGATAAGACTAAAACTGACACATTGAGATCAAAGTCTAAGGACGATCCTCATAGAGCGAAACTTTCTAAAATAGGTACATGGAGAAGAAAATCAGAACCTGGTCTGCAACAAAATTCCTTAAACCTTACAGGGAAAAAGTCCCTAGATAGTGACAACGAAAGAAACGACGACAGGAATGATGTGAAAAATGATAAAATTGAGTTTGAATGTCGCAACTGCGGGTCAAATAAAATTTCTAAAAAACTGAATGCATCAAATGGAAATATACACTCAGATGTAGAAAGCGACAATCGGAAATATAACGTTGGTAAACAGAGTTTAGAAATAAAAATGTACAATACGAAAAACATACCTAAAAAAATATCTAAAATCAAGAAGAATAGAGCTAAAGGGCGACTTACTACAGATACATCGACTCGTTTTTATGCTGATTTTTCAAGTGACTTATCTACTGAAAATATTTTGCATATTTCGGAATCCAACGACAGCCTTAATATCGATAAATCAAAAGTTCTGACGCTGCCGGATAAGATTACGACGATTCCTGACCCATTACCTAAAGATGAAGATATAGATGAAGAAACATACAAGAAACTGATAGAAAAGACAGATTCATTCAAGAAAAATGAGTTAGAGAAAGAGAAATATTTAAATAAACAAAATATTATCTGTGAGGGGTCTGAAACTGATGAAAAGCCAATAAAGACTCAAAATTGTCAGGAGGATATTCAGGAAAGTTGTGAAGAAAACGAACAACCGCTGGAACAAATAATTTCTCAACTCTTGATGCAAAATCGAGAATTTCAAAAACTCTTAAAGAAGCAGCAGTTACGAAGTAGTGCGCAAAAAAGACACCATAGATTATTAAAATCGCATTCGATTCCCGATCAAGTCTTGTTAAATCGTAACGAAGATATGAAATTAAAACCGAAATACGGTCGCCAAATGTCTGAAGATTTACAGCTTTCTATCAAAGAAGATATAGATAATAACAAAGACGACCTCGACAAAGGAATTGTGTCAGAAGACGACCACATATACGAAACGCTAAGGGTCGAAAATCGAGTAAATCGAAATCCCGATATCCTTGATTCTAAAATATCTAGTTCTTCAGTATTAAAAAATAAAAACATTGATAGAAAAGTCGGTCCTGAATCAGATTATGTTTATCTCTCGTTTGAAGAAATAAAAAAAGGCAGAGATAGTCTCGATGACGGTATATACGACGTTCCAGTAAAAACGCCTGAAAAAGTAATTGAATCTCAACAGTCGCACAAAAGTACAGATTATTATGTCACTATGGAGAATCAAAGGCCCGCGACCGGTTGTAATGAAAACTATTATGACAATTTAGAAGATGTGTGCCGAAGGAAAAAAGAAGTCCCCAATACACTTCCTAGTGATTATATGCCAATGAGTACCGATCACCAGAGTCCTAATACCCCAGAAATATGGATCAGTCGGCAAAAGGAACATTTCACTGTTTCTAGAGATAGAAAGTCAGGCTCTTTGCCAAGAAGCTTTCAAGTCCCGACTAGTGTCCAAGATGAACACAATCTCAGTACATTTAAATTTAAACCTAATAGTAATAGCAAAACATATCTTAACCGAGACGGTAAAGTAATGAGTATTGACAGACCGTTCACTATTGCATCAGATCAAAGTGAAATAAGTTATGATGATGTTGAAACTTACATGAGCGAGGGTGACATATTGAAATTCACGAAAAGTGCGCAATCTGTTGATGAAGCTCAGAATTTCAGTAAGTCAACCTTGGAACTCGAAGAAGAGATCGATCGATGTTACAAGAACAATTTTGAAAAGATAGACTTAGATACAAATAAGAACGAAAGTATTCTGAAAACTTCTGGTAATAATTTAGACATATCAGTGACGTCTTCATGTGAAGGTTTAATTATTGATCAAAGTAATGATAAGGCTAAAATGGACGTGATTCACCCAGAGCATAAAATTTATAAGCCGAATGGTAACGCTCTTTCTCTAAAGAACGTTTTAAGTCGTTTCAAAAACCGTTCTCCTCCTAAAAATGAAGATATCGAAATAAATGCTAACGAACCAAGCAGTAACGAAAATAAAGCTGATATAAAAAGTCCCACAAACGAAAAAAGGTCTGCTTTAAACCCTAGAAGTTATTCTAAGAATTTACTTCAAAGATTCAGAAGTATTATAGGCGATGAACATTCGGATGACAATCAAAATAAAATCGAAGCAAATAAAATAATTCAAGGGTTAGAAGACGACAACATAACAGTTGATGTTACCTCCATCGACAAAAGCTCACCAACTTCAATCAATTGTTCGGTGACAGATGTTCTAAGTAGAAGCGTTTGTGAAAATACTACTATAAGTGAAAGTCAAAATGAAAAAAATAATTTAGATACATTATCACAAAGTTGCCATAACCTTACACAAAAACCCGCATATAGACCATCTTATGAAAAAAGCATAAGTATGATGTCATCTATACCTAATTCGACCTGTTCTTCGCCTTCAAAGACGAATGCCAATTCTCTTCAGAGCCTGAAGAAACTGCCTATTTATATGCAAGGTAGTAAACACTTAGGTGCAAGAATAGCCCAGTCAGATTACGTTGATCCGATGACGTTGCTCAACGAAAGGAATGTAAATCATATTAATGTGCTTATAAATAAAAACGCTATACGCCCGGATAGCCTGTTCTCAAATTCTTCTTTCGTCACCTCTTCGAGTGAAAGTACATTGCAAGAAACGCAGAAACACCAAGTTTCGGAAATATCTTCCGAAACGAGTCAAGTCAATAGTGATGAGAGCTATTACGAAAAATCTTTCGAGAAAATTGAGCATTTCACAGACGAAGATGTTTTTAGAGACTCGGCTGTTTATTCAGATCAAGAAGATGTCGAGGATAAAGAAGTGGACAGAACGAAACGAGTCACTAGATTGAATCGAGTTGATAGTGTCACACGTGATTCAATGAAATCTAAGAAAATTGTATCCAGTATCACTGAAATATCTAGCATTCAAACTGTAAGTTTTAACAAAATTCAAAACACGGTGAAAAAGTATGATAACAAGACCGGTGAACGAAAAGTGAAACCGAAAACGGCGCCACCAGTTCCAGCCAAACCCAAAATTTCGCAAGGCCCCATATCCACTGTGCAAAGGACAATTGTTAGTAATAGTAGAAACTTTACGAAAAATGTAGAAAAAACATCTTCAACAGAATCATCAACGTCCGTTAACACAAGGACGATACAAAGAAACGTGAAGCAGTCCTTAGTGCGGTCGGAGTCGACACCGTTCGGAAAAAGTGAGGAGAAAGTTGAAAAAACTAACATCACATCTGAATTCAAAGGGACTGAAGGCAAAACCTCAATACAAATGAAACGATTGGGTTTTGAACGTGCAAGTTTGGATTCAGCGACGAGAAAGCGTCCAGTGGAAAACAAGCGAACATCGACAGAACAACCAAAAACGTCTAAATCAGTTCTAGAGAGGCGATTGGAGCTCGAACAGCTAACAAAACCGCAAAAGAAACCGACAAAGCAACCTCTACAAGCTATAAAACCAAAGTCGATAACGATGAAAGTGGCGTCATTTGAAACCGCTGAAAATACAGAGGCTCATACCGCAAACAATAAAAACATTCCAGATGTTAAGCCTTCCGGAAGCGAAGACCCTAACGACGATCCTAAAGGGAGTTGGGTAAAACAAGTGGTCAATAAGTTCCAATAACTGCATTTAGAAAACGAATCCGTCTGTTTTTATACTCCATTTTTACGTAATTGTATGTCGAGTATAGTCTGTTATGATTAAACTACAACTTAAGAGTAATTTTGTAATTGTACGCACTACTGTCTAATATAGGATGATAATTTTTACTTTATAAGTTATTATATTTTGGTTCAAGTAACGTTTACTAAAAATACCATACTTGACGGGTACCGCCCATTTTACGAAGTGCCCTGCAAATCAATAATCGTAGAATATCAATAAAAAATCGGTTGTGAAGCAATCCAGAATTTAAAATAATTGTAAGGGCGTAACAGTTATTTTGTGTTATCTTGATAAAGTAAATTCACTGATGTCTAACTACCCTCTAATTAAAATATAACTACAAAAATTATCATCACATATAAGACATCCTAAAACAGCCTAAAACGTTCTGCTGTTGTATATAGTTTTTTCATTAAAGCTTTTGAGCTTGACGTTCGTGCCATAGACAACATTCAATAGTACTGTTAGTACTATGGCGACAGCACAAATTGCACTCCAACCTTTGTAAATATTTTTATATTAGCCGTATTTTTTATTTATTCGAAAGTGCCATGATAATTGCACAAAATTACATTTACTTAAAAAAATATCTATATTTTTCGTGCAATTCGTTCGATACTTAAAGTATTAATTTCGTTAGCTTTTACTTTTTGTCATGTATGTACTAACACCAAAAACTAGTTTGATTTAGTTTTTAGGTTTTTTCGTAATGAACTTAGAAATTATTTTATTACACTCCTACGCATACATGGTCTCATCTATTCTAAATGAAATTACACAGATTATTAATAATAATTAGATGTAAGATCCCGAATAACCGTAGGTTGTAATAGCAAAAACTACCCACAATTGTATTAAAATATTTTTTTCGCAACAACAGTTTTTTTTTTCTAAAATTATAATCGCTATTTCGAAGTAATCTTAATTTAAGCATTATTAATCCATACGAACACAAGTATACTTAATACATGGAGACTGTTAGTATAAGGTTATTCACACTTAACTACTAAATGAACTAACACCTAGTTTTATTAAAACAACTGTACTGTACTCAAAATTTTCCTATATTTATTACTTTTTCATAATAGAATATAAAAGCCTTATATTATATCCTTATTAATAGAGATTAGAATTATGCAAGCTAATGTGTTGGTAATTAACATTTCTATCGATATAACAGGCAGTTCTTGGTTCCTTCTGTTTGTAAATTTTTATTTTCTGTTGATAATTTATTTTTAATTTCTGTTGATAAATAAAGATATTTTTTGTATGGTCACATGTAAATTGAAAATCAAGCGCTACAAATATGTATTTTTGGGATATAATGTAAGGTAATATTAAATAATTTGTATTTAATCGCACATAATATGCCTTATTACTAGAACAAGTATGTATTCAAGCCTTAAATGGTGCAAAATGTAGTTTTATATTCGTGGCTTGTGAATGATTTATACTGTGGCGACCATTTGTAATTCTCTAAATTAACCAACGAATCTACGTAAGTAATATTTATTTATAAAGTTATTTCAACGGGGTATGTATGTCTCCCTTTTTCACACACACATCATTGAAGCTGTAGGAATTTTAAACTAGAGTGTGGTCAAATACTGTCTATAGTTTACGCGAGTAGTACACATTTAAATAAAACACTTTAACGGTTTAAAACGCGATATATTAGTTAAACTTATTTGAAAATGATTTTTAACTTCGGCCCGACGTTTCGGATGCTTTGCAGCAGCCGTCTCCCCGTGACCACGGCTGCTGCAAAGCATCCGAAACGTCGGGCCGAAGTTAAAAATCATTTTCAAATAAGTTTAACTAATATATCGCGTTTTAAACCGTTAAAGTGTTTTATTTAAAATAGAGTGTGGTCGTAGGAGTAGGAGACAGCAGGCAATAAAAGAGGTGTACTGTTTAAAAACTTCATATTTAATAAGTCGCTACAGTATTATAATTCTATGAGAAATTACATAATTTGGTCAAAATGATTAAATCATTCACGGGACATTTTTTATATCTATATTTAAACATGTACAAGTGCAATTGTGAACGACGACATTTGTAATAGATTAGTATTTTGTAATAAACACACCTACTAACCAATGCCGACGTTTTGGTATTCCTTAAAATAAATGAATTTTTCATTAAATTGTTATTTATTCGTCACTCCACTAAATTGCCCCTACTCACTTGACCGACTCTGGAGCCAGACTCGCAGAATCGCAAGAGGTCCTGGGCTCGAATCCCAGGGAAACAATAAATTTCGGTCAGGCAGGGCACAGAAGTCTGATCAACTAGTTGCCCGAACGGATCAGTTAAAACGGACAAAGAAATGTGTTCGCCCCATGGGGCATGGGGGGGAATGGGATTTCACAACCACTAAAATACAATTCTTTGGTTTCTACGTTTTATTGTAGTGTTTCCTTTTTAATACACTACATAGAGAAGAAAAGCTCAATTAAAATGTAAAAAAACATGGTCGTGTGTTCTATTTCTGGTCAATCACTACTGATCATTTTGCTCTAGTTGTAAGGTAAGCTTAAATGAAACGTAAAAAGCAATAGCGATTTCACGAAAATGGTACGAGTTGGCGCGGTCGCCACATCGCGTGATAGACTTGGATATAGGCTGGATTTATGTTAATAACTTACAATTCTTAGTCCTAAATTTTAGATAAGAACAAGTTTGCTAACTACCCACTGACATTATTTAAGTCTAGGCTTAACTTAGTACTTGGTCCGGAAAACTAAAGCAATAACCAATAGCGTTTCACGTTTATTGTTGTGTATATTTCCAGCTTTGGTTATCATTAAATCAATCCTCGCAAATGTATGAAATGCAAGTTATTGCTTGTCGTATGATAAACCCATCGCGTGATCGTTAACGTATTTTCCATTTTTCCCTCCAAAAACCGTGATCTACCCATCTTCAGCACGCAAGACACTACCAGTTACACAGTCTAAGAGCCAATCGTAATTTTTAGGACAGACGCAGCTAGTTTAAAACAAGAAACATTGACTTTCTATGTGGGCTTTTAAGGTACAAGGTTTCACTCATGGTTGAGAATTGCTATCTACTACATGTTATTTAACATTATTATTATTTATTTAACACTAAAGTTAAGAAAATAAAAAGGAATAGAAACATACACTTAGTGTTTTATTAAACGGTTTAAAACACAATATGTTCGTTAAACTTATTTGTTCAGACTTATTCACGGGGAGACTAAAGATGGAAGGTGTCTCTAACGTCAAAGTAACAATAGCTACGCTAGCGCCATTTGTTTCGCCGTAGTTAGTATTTGGCGAAACTGGCCAGGTCCTTGCAGAATTGACTAACGACGTCTTTGCGTCTTCGCGTTTAAGTGTTAAAGTGTTTTTTTATTTAAGTACACATTTAAATAAAACTCGCGTAAACTACAGACAGTATTTAAAAACTTACACACATGCACTTAAAAACTGACAGATGATTTCAGTCAAATGGATCTCCTGTTAACTTGGCTTAATTGGAGAACTTAAAAATTAGCTCTTAGACTTTTTCATCCAAATGAAAAAATTTCTACAAGACCGAAACAGTGGCAGTGATTCCCGCTTCGACCGCAAAGGGGAAAAAGGAAAACTTCAAGTTCCAATTTCAAACCTCATTCCCGCCCAAGCCACCACCACTGCTACAGGCTTTCAAAGCATATTAAATCATGGCTAATAATAATAGTCGATAAGAAAGTAATTTGAAAATATTTTGTCAAAAGTTATATAAGATCGAGGCGTTTTAAAAATTATTTAATGTTTATTTTTCCGAAAATAAAGAAATACTTTTTGTTAAAAATTACGGCTGGCTGGACAAAGGTTATCGTTGGCAAGTGTAAGGCATGGGCTCAACTAGTTTCGTGAATAAATCCAAATTAAACGGTTTTCGAGCGAAAAGTTCTAGCTTCGGATCCGATAAAGAGATGAACGGGAAATTACGAAGGAATAAAATAAGGTAAGGGTTGATATCTATTTTGATACTTAGGAAAATTCAAACATTTTTTTATTATTATTTAATAAGGATTTACTTTTTTTTGGACGGTGGATTTCCGGACACGGAAGGAATATCAATATTTCTACCACCCATTCAGTCCATCATGTTTCAGAAATATTATAAATTTCTTAGACCCGGTGGGAATCGAAGCCACGACCCGTTTATTATTAACCATACGTCGCCACCATTATACCAACGAGTCCGTCCTTGTTTGCGTTGTTACGTACACTTCGTTACCATCACGACTGTTAAATCAATAGGAAACATTACAACCCCACACATTACAGAGTGACCGCACAGTGGGGCGCACGTATTAATTATGTAGACTGTTGAGGAATAGCATTTTTTTATAATGTGTAGGCGAGAAATTTGACAAAATGAATCCGATTTTTTCGTACAGACGACCGACCAGGATGACCGACTACGGACTGAAGAGAATCCCCGATTACACCGAAATGGCATATAAGGAAGCTGTATCGAAATTGAAGTATTTTTTATCGGGGAATACTGCACCTAGTGTGAGTATTTTTAATTATAAAAATATTAAACTAAACGCTTTTACAGGTTAAATTAAACTCTATTAGTTAGTTTTATCTCTCTTATAGACAATATGTACCAATAGGATTTACAATAATATAAAATTAAAAATGAGTGAGAATATCTAGATTACATTTGATTTAATACTCACATTTGTTATTTTTTCACGCCTAAACTGCTTGACTGATTTTGATAAAACTAGGGGGATATAAATTTAACTCCTTTCAAACTTAGTTTGTAACTTTCGCACTTCTAGCACATTGTCTAGTTTAATTATTAAGTTTCTTTCTAGTTGGGTTGTCTAGAAGCGACCTCGCTTATATAAGGCCCAGAGCACGCCTAAGTTGTGAAACTTCATTGTGTATCTGACTGAATGTTTTATGTACCTATAGTCTGAAGTAAATAAATAAATTTTACTTACCATGTCAAATTTTAATTTATATATTATATTAGATATATACTAGAGATGCACCGAGTAACACTTTTGCCGAGTAACGAGTACTGAGTTTTACTCGGCTCAATTTTTTCAACCGAGTACTCGGCCGAGTAACTCGGTTCGATCAAATTCCCATTGCAAGCACTTGCAAGCACCGTAAAGGTATATCAAGCGATTATTTTCGGAGGCGGGTAACATCACAAAGAAAGGAAGAATAGGCTGTTACCAGAACGTGCGAAGCCTTATGATCCTGCATCATAACTTACCTTTATTATATTTTAAATATTAACTATTTTTATTAGTGTTCTCGTACTTTTGTCTTAATACTATTCATTCATTAAAATCATTTTGATTTTATAAATTAGGATTAACATTGTTGTTTTAATTCTATCTATATATATTTGCTTATTGCAAACAAAGTTGACTCGTTATAAAATAACAAATTATAACCGAGTTATTCGAACGAGTACTAGTACCAAAATACACCCCGAGTACGTAGAGTACCGAGTAACAACCGAGTCCTCGGCCCATCTCTAATATATACCTTACGCAAAAAATAATGCTGGTTTTAAAGTTATTACAATCTCTGGCTTATTGTTGAATAGACTACTTGTCTCATATTTATGTTCTTAAATTGCATACATAGATACGTAGCTACGGCGGATCAGCATCGATTAAAAACCTGGACGAGTCAGATGGCGACCTGGACAAAAAGTACCCGTTCAACGCTCTCACAGAGTACAAACCCAAGCCACGCCTTACTGCCAAGTATACCACCCTGTACGCTGACAGTCTGAACAATTATTCACCACCACCCAATGGTAGGAAGAAGATTATCTTTTTATATTTTTTACTGTTTATTTATTACTTCTATATTAGCATTTCATTCTTTTCGGGCTGTTCGGCCGACGTGAGCAAGAAGAGGTTCTAGAAGAACAGCATCTCCTGATAACTCATTGGAATAAAACACTAACAGTTTAAAATGTGATATCTATTAGTTACACTTACTTGGAACTTTAACGAGACCCTGTGCCCCCGCGTGACCACGGCTGCCGCAAAGCATCCAAGACGTCGGGCCGTTATTAAAATAATTTCCAAATAAATCAACCAATATATCGCGTTTTAAACTGTTAAAGTGTTTTTTTTAAATACTTCTGTTAATTTGCCATATGAAGTATTTCGACTAAATTTGATTACCACAAATTTAGTCGAAATACTTCCATTACTATTCGCCTACTAGCCAACTAGTCCCGGAGATTTTTTAAATATATAAGAAAAATAAAACTTTTCTACATACTTTTTTTTCGATATCTTGAACCGCAGTCCCATTTTTCCTACTGTGTTTTATCTCTTATTGGTCGCCTGATGTTTTATTCCACGATAAATGGTCCAAATAATACCAAAATATTTTTTCAAATCGAAACGAACTACAAATCGAACCTGAGCGCGTTCAAACAAACAAACACTCTAATTCATTTTAATTATTCTTACCCAAGATATATTTCAATAGTCTGTGTTAAAATTTTGAGGCGTATTTATTTCATGCAACTAACATATGAGATTTTTTTTCAAGTGCTCGTTGGTCTAATGGTAGCAATCTAAAAATAATCAACGGGTCGCGGGTTCGAACCCCACCGGGTCCAACATGTTGCTAATTTTTCAGTTTATATTTTTTCTGAACCTTCGTCAGGAAATCTGGATATCAAATGGGTGGTAGGTATATCGAAAATTCCGTCCGGGTCACGAACCACCTCCCATCAAGAGAACCCCGTGATTGTCTGTCCTCCTCCATCATAAAAAAAGAGAATATAATCTTATTGTTTTTCTACGTGGAAGCACATTCCAATTTGATAATATTCACTATCAGGGGCTTAGACATGCTCAAAGTACTCGTTAATCATTTCATAAACGCAAGCAAAATAAGTTTCCGCTATTGGAAATATACCTTGGTCACTAGTAAATGTTTATTTGTGATCGATGAACACAGAACCTCTCGTAGGAGGCGTTGCGTTTAACCAATGAGTAATAAATTGTCGGCCAATAGTAATAATTCGGTATTATTTAAAACGTGTAATTAGTTGTCTTTCCTGTAATTTTTATCGACGGTTTTGTTTTTTATATAACTTGTATCTATATCTTAGGTAATGTATCTCTTTGTTTCCTTTCGCTAAATAATTAAATTTGTATTTTACGGTTTTAAACATGAAAGATATTGTTTAACTTATAACCTACGTAAAACCGCGTAAACTACAATTTACGCGAGTCCTTAATTAACTCGTACGCACAGTTATATGAACATTATTTATAATCAAAATAACTTAGTAGTTATGTACTTACTAAGTTCCTTACTTCTTTTTCTTGATAGATTTTTCTGTGTACGGAATTGATTATCTGAATATCTTTTACTGTCATTTAACTTCGGGTAACATAATTATCTTTTAATTACCATTGAAAGTGGTGTAAGCTTCGTAGTTATTTGTACTGTAAGGTCTTGGTGTATGATTGCTTTTTTCTGCTCAGTCCCAGCTGCACCACCTTCAGCGGATTTAACTGGTGGTACCAATCCTGATGTCGTCAACTTCATTCAGAAGCAGGAGGAATATATAGAACAACTTGAAAGAGAGAGTCAGTATTGCAGGGTATGTATTATGTACTTGGAAATTAAATTATTATTTACGCAAAAAAAACACCTATGCTAAACACTGGATAATCTATGATTTAAATTAACTAAAATAAAAAGTTTACCAAATATTATACAATTCAGACTTTAGATAACAAATCTATATTTGTATTACAGCATAAATAAAAGTTAATTGTACTTCTTTGAGGGACAAATTATTTTGATACTGTCTCACTTTGATGGTTTAAAACGCGATATATTTTAGTTAAACTTATTAAACAACTACAACTACTAACAACAACAGCAAGTTTAACTTAAATATATCGCGTTTTAAACCGTTAAAGTGTTTTATTTAAACGCGATATATACATATTAGTTATGCCTACCTATTTTAACTACGGCCCGACATTTCGGATGCTTTGCAGCAGCCGTGGTCACACAGAGACTGTTCCCCGTGACCACAGCTGCTGCAAACCATGTAAGCATGCAAGCATACCGTAAAGTATGACAGATATACATATACATACTTTCCAGGAAGAACTCAACAACCTTCTGGGCAAAGTGAAGGAAGTGATCTCGGAGAATGAACATCTTCACGAGGCACAGAAGAACAAGATAATAACACGAATGTTTCATAATTATGCGGGTTCGGAAACTGATGATCTAGACGATGTTGGTGATAGCACTGGCCTAGACAGTGATAATAAGGTACTTTTAGATTTATAAGTCATATTTTGTATAAGGTTGTTCGTTTAATATTATTATTCTAATCTTTCCTTTTTTACTTATTCACATACGAGTATATCGAAACTACCTCACCTGTAATGAAACATTTTTCATTAGATTTTCTTTGCAATACGCGTCAATGCAGCCTTTTACAAACTATATATTTAACTATTATATAGTCTCTGTAGTTTACGCGTGTAGTACACATTTAAATAAAACACTTTAACGGTTTAAATATATATTAGTTAAACTTATTTGAAAATTATTTTGTCCATGCCGCGGTCACAGGGAAATTACTGCTGTAAAGCATCCGAAACGCCGGGCCGTAGTTAAAATAATTTCAACCCATATATATTTCGTTTTAAACCGTTAAAGTGTTTTATTTGAATTTCACTATTATTTTAGAAATAACTATAGGAAAGATTTGGTATGTTTCAAACAGGGAACACCATCAAAGATCAGGCGATCAAGGACCCGCTCATCTAAGTTGGAAGGACCAAACATTGTGTTTGAATCCCGGATTGCCGAACTGGAGGCTCAGCTGACTCAGGCTAAAATTGATCTTAAGAAAGTTCAGGTATGTAAATAAGAAATAATCATTGCCAGTAGCGTAGCTTTATGGTCATGGGCCTCGGTACATAAAGAAAAAATCGGGCCTTTCTCCCCTCTTTCCGCGTAACTCATATAAGCCTCCCAAATTTTAGATAGGAACAAACACAGTTCATTAAATTTTTTTAAGTAAAGCATTTTTTCTTCTCTTCTTTTACGATTATTTCTTTTCAAGGTGTAGTTAGAGAGTTCCTAACTTTTGGGGCTCTGTTGTACTGCGCCACATGGCTCTACTTTAGCAATGTAGAAACGTGTATTCTTTATAGGAGGAAAATAATGAAAACAAACGTAAGCTTGCATCTGGTCTCGTCGATTCGACATGCTTAGATGGTTTTAAGAGGCAAATTGATAACTTGCAGAGGTAATTAATTATTTATAATTATTCATTGTATAGTTTTTCACAATTTTTAACAATAATGATTCTTAATTTGTCGTCAGAGATACTCACCATCTCAAGTTTCCCTGTAAACACGGCTGGTGCAAAGCATCAGAAACGTCGTAGTTAAAATAAATTTCAAATAAGTTTCAGTAACATATATCGCGTTTTAAACCGTCAGTGTTTTATTTAAATGTGTACTACTCGCGTAAACTACGGACAGTATTTAAAAATGATTCTTGCAGAGACAAATCATCATTGGAAGCTCAAATTTCAAAGCTGAAATTAAATTTGGAACAACGTGATGGCGATATTGATGGTAGATACAAGCGTGGTTCGGACGCTATTGAGAGTCAGTTGCGAGAGGAAAGGAACAATTTGGAAGCTGAAATACGCAGACTTAAGGTAATAGAAGGCATCTACTTAAAAATAAGATAGCGCATAGTTCAAATTATGTAAAACTTATATGTTTACTAGCCGTGTCACAGACTTCGTCCGCTTATAATAGTTATTTTGCGCATCCAAATATGTTTACACAAACCGCCTCTTCATCTTTTTAAATTAAAGCTAATACCTACCCGCGCCGCCGGGCGCGTCTCGTCGTTATAATATATATAGTGTTGCAAAAATTGACAGAATATTTAAAGAGAAATCATTCTTTCATACTTTTTTATTTTTTACGTTTTAAGTATCTTGAACCACCGAAGCTTCTTAAGCAGCGAACTCAACGGAAACTAACTAAGATTATACTAATCATTTTCTATACATTTTCCGTTGTTCGCTTCTATTAGTCACAGCGCGATGTTTTATAGCTTATAGCCTTCCTCGATAAATGATCTAACCAACACAAAAATATTATTCGATTATTTTTTTATTTGAACCAGTAGTTCCTGAGATTAGAGCGTTCAAACAAACAAACTCTTCAGCTTTATATATGAGTGTAGATATAGATATACAGAAGCGTAAGATTTTTTTTGTTCCAGGATGATCTTTCTAAAGAGCGTAATAAAGTTCGTGACTTTGCTGGCGAGACGGCACGCCGAGCAATACAAGAACGTAGTGCAGCTGAACACCGATATAATCAGCACTTTGACGAACTGCAGCATGATCTTGCAGCTCAATATGATAATGTCGCTAAATTACAGGTAAATTATGAGTTGCCTAGATTTGTGAGTTGACTTTGGCCTAGTTTTTAGCGTCAAATTTTAGACATTGGTATGCTGACCACGTTTTACGACTATAGTCGGCCAATTTGGAACCAAACCCATGCATCTTATGGCATGTAGCTACTTCATCATTGTAGTCGTACTGAATCAGTCGTGTACGCTGGATTCATTAACAATTAGTAGTCGCGTAGCTTAAGTGCTATTGATACATATATGTGTATTCATTAGATTATACTTTTCGACCAGATTACATGAAGTAATGACGCCGTTTAATATTGACCGACTGTTAAACTAGATTTTTTGTACTTGACATAAGAATTCAACGACGATAGTAAAATCATCTACTGACAAATATCTGAAAGTGTAAATGGTAACATTATTTTTTTTATTTAGCTTGATCTTGAACGACAAAGGCGCGACGAAAGTGACCTAAAACGCGAACTGTCAATGAAAAACGCTGCTCTGGAGGAATTAAAAATGGAACTTAAAAACAAAACTGGTAAAAAGAGTACATACATTAATCACTTAGGTGAGAGTGTTATACAAGACTTAATTCTTCAATGTTAACTGTATTTTTACAGCTTCCCTACAAGCAGATCTGGCTCAGGCTCACGCAGAGAAAGCTTCCTTGGAAGAAGAATTAGCTAGCGCTCGTCTCGCTATAGAACGTAATCAGAGACAGGCAAAACATGAGACCAATCGCCTAAACTCCGAGGTGATGGTTAAAATCTTTAAGTTATAATCGAAATGATTATACAAATATGAAGAGTTGAATCCATGAAATTGGAGATATGAAAATAAAAACTTATTCAATGTTTCAGATACAATCTTTGCGCCAGAGATTGGATCGATCTGATGCAGATCTCGTACATTCGCGTCGAGAAAACTTGCGCCTTTCCGAACAAATTTCCACTTTGGAGAAGGAGGTAAAAGTGTAATAATTTATACTATAGTGAGAGTGAGTACCAAATAGATAAGCAATTTCTTCCTTACTCTATCGAGTGAACTCCAAGTTTCTCAGTCTCTGCCAATAATTTTTTAAATAACAGTATTAATAAGACTTTTGTGTGACTGAGTAACCTTTTTGTTTCATTATCAGATTAACATGAAGTCCTTAACTCCGATGACACCGGAGAAGAAGAAAAAAGAAAAAGAGTTTACTTCAGCACTTGAATCCATTGAAAATAAACACGGTTAGTGATATTTAGAATTAGAGCTACTCAACACTATAAAACGCGTATGTGCGCGTATATTGTGAACGTCGCATTTTATGGGTAAACTGTTGATGTTTTGAAATTTAACTAATGTGGTTCACCGAAGAATAAGGAGAATTTAATTCAAAACATTTGTACTTTACCCTTTCATCTTGCTTGCATGAATAGATAGTTTTGGAAAGGCTCTCAGATTGGTCTCAAACTTCAATAGTTTATTCATCAGATTGTTTATTGGAAATTAAGCTTTCAACAGTAAATTACGTATTTTATATATTATATCCGTATTACCTACATTAACACAAAACATAGTATTTAAATAAAAGAAAATAACGAGACTTAAGACACAAATTCGTACCACTTTATCTATAGGAAGTAATTTGGTTCCACAGCTAAAACGGTGGCTGAGTTGGAGTCCATGATTCAATCTCAAAACAGTCTGATGGAGAAACTCACCAACGAATGTCGTTTGCTTACCGACAAGCTTGACGACGCAAACCGTAGACATAAGTACGAAATCTTTTGAAACCTTTTTGCATGGAAGTAATAAACTCTATTTCTACTTAACGATGCACTTAAAACATTATGTAATCATTACCCATTAAATTTGACGTAGCCTAAATATTTTGCATTTCTTGAGGCCTTATTATTGACGTATTCTAAATCTAAAGCATTTTTCTCATAAATATCCTAACGTCGTGCTGTGTTTTTATTGGTGGCAGGCAGAGCGCAGAGACGCAGCCGTGTAGACGAACCAATCAGAACACAGCGCGATCGATCAAGTTCAGGAGACCAGCCGATCACGAACCGTTCCAAGCGCCGCGTAAAAGAGTCCGATTCGTCGAATAACTATCCAATTATTGTGGGCCCATTAACGACAAATCAGGATCTCAAAAATTCACATGGCGAAAAAACATACAACCTGCCGCTAATGATTCAACAGCCCTTTTTACGGGATAAAAAGGAGCCAATTAAAGTTGATATAAGCGTCAAACTTATACCGAAACCGAAGAAGAAAGACAAAAGAAAGCGTGATGTTCATGAAGATGTAGATGATAAAAATATTAGCATTGTAGTCAAAGATAATAAAATAGAAGTTCCAAAGAAATCAGAAGTACACGATGTATCTTCAAATATTGACGTCTCTTCACAAATATGTGATAATACTTCGAAGAGTATTCATACACATAAAAATAATGATTATGCTACGGAAAATAAAACTAAAGATGATCCACAGACAGATAAAGAAAATCTTAATGTTGATTTACCAATATCACCAGATAATGGGACTGAATCTGAAATAAACGAAGAAATAAAACTGAACAATGACACTAATAGTACAGCTGAAAATAGAGATAAATCAAAGAACGAAGAAGAATAATGCTTTATGTTAATTTTTTTTAAATGTTTCGTTTCTTTTAATTATTCAATCGTTTTAATGATATAAAAACAGTTTTTATCACTTAACATATTTTAATTATATGCGCGTAAATAATTTGAATAAATATATTCGTGTAGTAAACTATTTTATATGCTTGAAAAATAGTACGTAAGCACATATTGTTTTATAGTTATAAAGATCTTATTTTTATTAAGCTTATAAATCGAACTTCTTATACATTGTTGATTTCTTTAAAAGGTGTATTGTTCGTTCGTTATAACGCTAATTAACAATCGTGCAATATATTGATGTTTAATAATATTTAATGGGCAATGATTACAATAATTAACATAATTTTTTAATTTTATTTTCTTTCGAGATCCTTTATTCACGTTTCTCATCAATTTATTTACACTTAGTTTTTTCTTTCAGAGTCGAAAAGACACAGTTGCTTTGCAGAAATAGTGAGCTTATGAGAAAACTTAGAAATTTGTGGTCTTCTCATAAGAAATATTGCACCACCACTATCGCACCCTTCAGGAGCTATTCACCAATCAGTGGTTACCCAAATAGTTCCTATGACGTAGACCGCACCTCCCTATCATATAATTCATACACAAATAGGTATAGATTTGGGGGGTCTAGATATATCGGTAGTGCTAGAGATGATGTCGACGATATAACTAAGAATCTTAGTGATATATCTTTTGATAGAAGTAATTCAGATGATGATCCAGTAAAGGTAAGAGGTAATTACATTGTCAATTGAATGTGTTGTTTTGGTAATAGTAGATGAATGTGGTTGTGCACTTCGTTTTAGCGTTTATATTCCACCTGTGCTAATGTTAACATATGTATATACGTGTGTCTCATTTTAAATCATTCATTCATTATTAAATGTGTGCTGCTATTATCTGTAGTTTTAAAAAACTACTATGACCTGATGAACTTTGTAAATATTAAGTCTCTTTATGTACTATACATAGAGAATTGCTGCATGTAGGCACGAGTGAGTGTGTGATCACGTTTGTATGTGTTCAGGCAAGAGTTGGGCACTCTGCAGCGTCAAGTAGACAACTTGGGAAGATCAATGCAACCCACGTTCTCGCCTACTAGCACCCAAGGTATGTTTTTGTTTTTAAAGTGTTTTATGCCAGCATATTTAAAAAATCATTTGAGTCGACCGATATAACTTCTTGTATATATTAAAAAATAATATTAATATACAGAATTGTAGTCTATAAGAGATACAGATCATATTTCTTTACTTCTTAATCGGTATATTATCTTACAGCACTTTCCTCGCACGCTCCCACAGCCGACAGAATACAGTATTCCGCAGCCCCTACCGGATCCAACTTTACCAGAAATGAGCCCTCCAGAAACTCCTCGTCTCGAGATAGCAGAAGAACAAGCAACGAGCTCAATAGAACAGAACTCTTAGTTCAGGATAACATGAAAACTAGCGATAATGTTCAAGATACTGAAGCACAAAACAAATTACAAAACAATTTTAGCGAAGAACGTTCACGTGAAGGTACAGAAGATAAAGAACAATCAAAACAATTTGAAAATGAAGTTCCACCATCAGCTATCTCACAGGTTAGAAAAAACGATATAACAGAAAAGACCAGTGAACACATAACAGATCTCCCAGAAGACGTGACAGATGTTGACCAAACAGTTAATAGAGAAGAAAACTATGTTCAAGACTATCAAACTTATGAACAAGGGTATCAAAATCAACCAGCTGGCTACCAAGAGGGATATGAACAACAATACGGGGATCAGCAGTATGAAAATTATGAACAATATCCACAATACGATGCAAATGTTGAATATAACAATCAATATGAGAATTATGCTACTGATGAAAATTATACAGACCAGAATTATACACAAGAATATAATCCTGATCAGTACCAGGAAAACATCTCTGAAGCTCAACCGGACAAAGAAATTATTCAAAACATTTCACCTGACAAAAACATAGATAGTCAAAGTTAGCAATAAAGTTAGTTTGTGCAATATTGTTTAAGAATTTAAGTTGATTGGACTATTTATTTATTATCCTATAGTAACATTTTATATTATTACCGCGACGTTGGTTTAAAGATTCATATACTTGACTGCAGAACATAAGGTCCAAGGTTACCCGGCTCGGGCAAAATCTTCGTTTTTAAACAAAAAATCTAGTAACAGCCCGGTGTTTGGAGCACGTTAAGCAGGCGTTAGTGGCGGTGGTTCTTAAGATTCACCAACTCGCACAAAAGCAGCGTATTGAATAAAGTGACCCCAGCAGTGGGATATATATGTCGTAACGAGCGCTGTTTTTTTATTCAACTGTAACACACAAAATAAGTACAATCCATGTAATAATATAGGAAATTAATGAAATTATGTTCTTTTTTATCCTTAACTGAGTAATGTGTAGATTAAAGTATGTTAATTCACCTTGTTATTGCTCAAAGTCTAGAACTGATTATAGAAGTACCAAACTATTTAACGATTATTATTTAAAAAAATACTATATTTATATTTAACGTAGGGTATAATAAATCAATAGACGTCTTTAAGTCTAACTTAAATTCAAGAACGGTTGGACGAGTTTTTTTCTGTGTTTGTCGTAATACAGGGAATGTTTACAGTGTGTCAGAGAGAATAATGTTTTTTATAAGTAAAATGACAATGATAAATGGTATACTAGACAAATGAATCGTTGTCTTCTCGTATATTCGTCATATTATTATGCAAACCAAAATGAATCATCTGTTGGAAATTTCAAAGAAACACAAATTTATTAATCAAAAATGTTATTCCACCTCCTACTCCGTTTCACCATGCTACCTTATTGCCTAACATCGTGTTAAGCGCCACATGTACTGGATTCGAATACTAGAGAAACATAATTAATAGCTTCGGTCGGGCATGGCAGAGAAGGCTGGCTAACATGCCTAATAATTGGATCATTGAAGCACACAGAAATGTCTCTCCCGTAGGGGAAGCATTTATTTACAATACAAGTATAAATAAAAATTACAAGACACACAATTACAATTATAAATATACACAACATCAACGCTAAGGAAACGTCAGCTCAGAGCATTAACTCAAATGGAGTCTTCAATCATTAATGTAGAAGTAAAAAACGTATTCTAAAATAAATTAAACTTTCGCGATTGAATAATTAAAAATCAATCATTTTTAACTTCTTTCCTGTGGCTTAAAACGCAAAATGTATTGATTAACTTATTCACAGAAATATTATAACCACGACCCGACGTTTCGGATGCTTTGTATCCGTGGTAAAAAAGACGTTGCGTTGTAACGTCGTGTTTTCATTTAAATGTGTACTACCATGCGTAAACTACAGACATTAAATACTATGTAAACTGAAAAATGTATTTCAAATGTGTGTGATTTCATTATTGTATTTACATGAATTTTATATTTTACACAAATAGATAAATTTATATTTTATTAGCAGAAAGTAGTTTTCGTAATACGTGCCACAGGCTATATGTAGTTTTTTTATTTGTATTAGAAGCATTTTACACTCACTATTTCTCTATCATATCTGTGGTCCGTGTACATAGCTTCTACTTTCTAGTTTCTAGTGGCATAGAGTAGAATAATGGATATTGATATAGGTTTTTTGTCAAAAACAGCTGCCGGTTACTGAATCAGATATATTAAGTATAATACTATTTATTAAACTATCTTAATAATATGGAGAACGATATACTCGATTCACTGAATGATCTGGGGTAAGTGACAACTATAATTATCATATTTCTAATATAAGAACAGATTGAAAAGGTTAAGTTCCAGCGTAAAAATATTTCAATATAAAATCGACTTTTACATTACTTTTCAAAAAGAACAACGTGTGTGTCACATACCTTAATACGATGAATATAAGCTTTGAACGAAGATTTAAGTAATACAATTTTGAAATGTACCTGATGTTTCAGATATGAAGGCCCTCTTTCAAATGAAGTTGATTTCTCAAAGGCAATTGATGGAGGTCCAAAATCTCTTGAATACACTAAACTAGTCCATATTCTCGCTGAGGAGATTAAAAAGCTCTGTAATTTAGAAGAAACAGTGAATGTTATGAACGATCCAGATGAATCCAGTTCCTTCCTTTTAGAACTTAGCTCATTTTTAAAAGAGCTTGGTTGTCCCTATAAGAAATTGGTAACAGGTGAGTTTTAAAGAATTTAAAATATACATTTCTAAAGGAATTTATACTCCAAGAGTATAATGGAACCATATTACTATGAGTCCCTAAGCAGTATCTCATTGACTGTGGTAGTTAGGTGTGTAATTAAAAAAAATTAGAATTTTATAATTCTTCTTCCGATAGTGATACACTAACCCATGACTATGTCTGACCCACATGGCAGGCTGGTTGTATCACCATATCTATTAAAAAAGGTGGGCTTAAACCATATTTTCACATTTATAGGACATATGTCGGCAAGATTACAATCAAAGGAAGATAAGATATTACTTCTTGATTATTTGGTATCCGAGCTTATGGCAGCTAGAATGGTCAGTGTAGACTGTCCAAAAGAAAAACAAGGCTCGGGCATGAATATTGTTATGGTAAACACTTCTTTATTATTACTGAATAATTCAATATTGTGTCATTATAAGATTGCTACAGTAATTGTTGTCTATGTTAAAAAGCCTCTAATTTAAATGATGCATATGGAAAAACTGATCTGGATAGCTATCCTAGTGCTACCATCTTCATTCAGCCTGCCATCCATCATCATGATCTATATCTGTATTGGTTTATCATCATGGAATTTATTTTTATTTACAGCAAGAGTCACCAACGGCTAAGGACCTGAAGGACATATTAATCACATTGAAGTTTAACAAGCCTCCACCGAACATTACTCCCGAAATATTGTTTACAAAACTAAAAGCGAAATTAAAAGACACTATACAAAAAGAGGGTATGCACATGCAAAAATAATTCCTAATAGATTTAGCAATTCATACCTAATATTTATGGCTTCAGGATTTCATAAATTAACTTGCACATAAGTTTGATAAGTTGATGAAGATAAGTTTTGCAACATGCATTTTAATATCTGTTGTGTTGGTGTGTTGATTCCGTGTTTGATTTATGTTTCAATATCAAAGTCAACTCACCCCCTAAATTATATATTTCTTTAATTACACAAGAAAAGCCAAGATTTTAATTTTAGTCTTTAGTAATTGATGACACAAACATTTAGGTAAGTTACTATGCACCACTTATAAGGTTTATTTGATAATATTTCAGGTGAGTCATTAATAGGCAAGCCCTTATTTAATAAGGCTGTAACTGAAAAAGATTGGAAGCAGTTGGAAAATACTTTTACAGAATTATTTGAAGAGTATAGACTGAGAAGAGAAACTCTTATAACAAGATTAGAATGTACTATACAAAGTTTTGAGGTCTGTTCAATTTTTAGTCTTATTGATGAAATTAGGTTCAATATCTGTTTTCAAATTCTAATACAAACATTTATTTACAGTGGTCTGACCGTTTAAAATCAAAAAAGGACCAAATTCAATCAACTTACAGACCGAAACGAGAAAACTTAAAACTAAAGCCAAATGTGAAATTGTCCGATTTCCTAGCAGCACGCTCATCATTGCTAGCCATTGAAAAGACTTCAAGTGCATCAGTAAGGAAGAATACACAAAGCGAAGTCAATAAAGTTCTAATTGGTCGGGTAAGTACAAGATTATTTAATTTATTATATATTTAAATACCACTTGCCTAAACATATTTCATATTGAATATACTATTCATACTAGTCTACATCCTCGATATCTTCAAATAAAATGTTCCAAGAATGTCAATGATGAACCAAGTCGTTAATACATAGACATTGATTATTAGAGTACTGAAAGAAAGGGTGTAATGGGTATAATTTATTATCAGGTGCCCGATAGAGGGGGCCGACCAAATGAGCAACAACCCCCACCACCAGAAATGCCTTCATGGCAACAGCGAACAGCAGCACCCCAGGTAAGATCACTACAACAACTTGGTACTTGACAGATATTATTTGAAATAATTATTGCAATTTGTAATTTTTACTTGTTGTTATAAACAGACTTTGGATAACCAGGTAACATAAAGTCATATCCATCTCTATAAATTAAAAAAGCTTTTCGCTTAATTCACTCAATGTCTCATGTTACATGTTTGATTGCCTTTGAGCTTATACTCTGCTAGTACAAGCTGTTAAACGCTGTAGTTTGCGTTCAACCTCACGCATTATGCAGCGTCAAGATGCTATAACATAAAGCGTATATATGCTATTGACTCATACTACATTTTTAGGATAGTTATCACATATCTCACATCACATCAATCCTGTGCTTTAAAAACAATAATACTTCTACTATTAACTACTAATTACAGGGTGGACGCGGGGGAGGTCGTGGTGGCGAAGGTGGTAGGGGGGGTAGAGGTGGAGGCAGGGGTGGTGGAAGAGTCCAGGGGGGATACAATCAAGGGAATGGAGATCAAAGGTAAAAACGGAGTTGTTGTTCTTCTCTCTTCTTCTATCTTACGATTATTAGCCAGGTTCCAGCCTCCAACCTTGTCTTGTTAAACTTCCGATACCTTAATTTTTTTTCTTTTCAGAGCGCAAACCAGTCCCGCTTATAACCAAAATCAACGCAACTTCCAGACATATGAAGTGCCTCCAGGTGGTTACAACCAAAATAACCAAGGTTATAGGAATCAAGGTTACAACCAAAACAATTACAATCAGGGTTATGATAGCATGGGAAGTTATAATCAAGGACCTGGTTATAACAATCAAGGTAAGTTCTTTTTACAATAAATATAGACATTTGGAAATAAAAAGGGGGGGGGGGGGGGGGCCCCCCCCCCCCCCCCCCCCCCCCCCCCCCCCCCCCCCCCCCCCCCCCCCCCCCCCAATTTTTTTTTTTAGGGGGGGGGGGGGGGGGGGGGGGGGAAGACTCCCCCCCCCCCCCCCCCCCGGGGGGGGGGAATCACCCCCCCCCCCCCCCCCCCCCCCCCCCCCCCCCCCCCCCCCCCCACCACCCCCCCCCCCAAAAAAAAACCCCAAAAAAACCCCCCCCGCGTGACACCCCCCCCCCCGGGGCCCCCACCCCCCCCCCCCGCACAAAAAAAAATTTTTTTTTTAAAAACAACAAAAAGAAAAAAAAAATTTTTTTTTTTTTTTTTTTTGGGGTTTTTCCCCCCCCCCAAAAACCCCCCCCCCCCAAACCCCCCAAAAAACCCCCCTCCCCCCCGGGGGCCCTAGAGAGATTTTACACTGTATGTACTTTAGGATTTAAAGAGAATTTGTTTAAAGGAGGTGGTTACAAGACTTACCAACCGCAACAAAATCAGGGCTACCAATCGAACCAAGGATTCCAAAATCAGGGTTACCAACGTTATGAAGAAGACCGACGGGGCCGTGGGGGCTATAGAGGTCGCCGTTGACAATACGTTTTCAAAATCATTGATGAATTTATTTTAACAAATATAATAATCAAATGTATGCTTAGTTGACCATAGCCAAAATTTATTTACACACTAGTGTAATAATTTTAATGATTTCCTTGTTAGTCATAATTGCTAGAAAATTATTATTAAGTTTTTAAATATAATCGATAGAAATAATTGAAGCAATATGACTGGTCATATTAAAACATTTTAATGAATTATTAATCAATTACCTTATGTAATTTATTCACCAATGTATGTATAAGCATGCTGTATCTGTAAATTATTCAGTGAAAGGTATATTATGATAAAATATATAGTATATTGTTTTTAGGTTGAACATACAATATATAAGAAACCTTAAGCTGTGTTTTATTTGTCTACTAAAAGTGCCATTCAATGTAATATTAACATATTTAGATGGAAGACTTAAATATCCCTGTTTTATACAGGCAACATTAAATAAATTAAAGAAACCTTACTTGGTTAGACTTGTAATTGTTTTGGTAGCTATGAAATTATCTACATAGTTTGTTTTATGAAAATCTAATTTTTTATGATTACAGAGGATAGGATTCACTTGACCGAAGGGAGAATATAATAAGCACTACGAAGATACAGAAAAATTCATTTATTTAAGAGAGATTGTCCGATTAATCCAATATTATTTAATGGTATATTATAGTTTCCTGTAAAAATGTTCTGCGTCAATCTTATGCTTATACAGTTTGTAAAAAAGCACTGAAATTGATAATTTACAGATCCTCTGTACTCCATTTATAGGCATCTTCTTCCAATGCCTTTCTCTTACTCTGTTGTTCAAAGAACTTCTTCTCATATCCATTGGATCGGTCGACACCGTCCCATCGATATCCCGGGCGGATGTTAAAACGGTTTGGGGGAAAGTTACCCTTATATGTGGGTTTTGCTGAAAATTTTAAAGTTTTCTAATATTTATGTAGGTACATTATATAAATTAAATAACTAATATCAATATGCATAATTTATAATCGATTTTCAAATTCAGGTAATATCAAAGTAAAACTATATATTTCAAATGAGAAAAATCATGTCTCTTGTTAGAACATAACTTCTAGGCTCTACATAAGTTTAATTTCTCACAATTACCTCATAGAACACAGTAAAACTAATGTTATTAAGTTTTTATTACAAAATAGCAGTGCTAGGAGTGTTTTTGTCTACTAACCTGGAGCAAGCTCTCCTCGTTCCCTTTTTCTTTCTCTTATGTAATTTAACATTGGGTCTCCATCCCTTTCAACACCCCTCAAGTTACTTTCTAGATCATGATCACTTTTGTATCTTGCTAAGGGTTTTGAAGCTTCATGTATATATTCCTGTACTCGTTCCTCTTGAGCTTCAATTTGTTTTAACCTGAAAGCAATTTGTTAAAATAACAATGTGTGCATACAATGCTAGTTTTTATATCGAACACAAAATTAAAATCTATTAAACATCAAAGAATATGACACAAGCAACAAAATATAAGAATAATCACCCTCTGCTCCATTTCTTGTATTTTTCATCTAATTCCTTCTGTCTTTCTGCTTTTTCTTTCAATTTTTGTCTCTCCTCTGATGTTTCTCGCTTGGCTGTAATTTTAAAATTAAGAGTTTAATTATAAATAAAATTACCACTAAGGATTTAGAGACACTAGTTCTCATGATTTTTTTCCAAAAATAAATATCTAATCTGATTGTGATTGCTAAAGAAATAGGTATCTAAGTTACAGATAACAAATAGAATAAGCTAAATTACTTTTTTTTTACCTTTTCTAGACACGGCCTTTGCATTCCTTCCAGATACATCATCTGTTAATCTACTGTATGCCTCATCTTCTCGTCTTCTAAATGCTTCATTTTCCTGCTTTAACTGCTTAGCATCTTGTAACCCTGCCATCTTGCCTTCTAAAGTCTTAGCCATCTTTTTATTAGATGGTGGAGGGCTGTCTTTATTACGTTGATCTTTTCGCCTTGGTGGTGACTGATCTGAATCAACATTTAGATCTTTTCGTCTTTTAACATCTCTTTGGCGTGGTGGAGATAAGTCTGAATCAGAAGCACTATGCTTGTTAGTTCTATGATTCCTTTCTGGTTTTCTTTTACTGCTATTGCTATTACGGTTTTGTCTATCTGAATCTGAACAATCAGACCGGTTTTTTAAATTGGAATCTTTAGTGCTCAGTCCTCTTTCTTTACTCATATTATCTTTCTTACGCTGCCTTGGAGGGGATGAATCTGAGCTAGAGTTTGATTTTTTTCTTGGGTTGGGTTTTTGTGATTGTCTAGGAGGTGAAATGTCAGAGTCGGAACAATTCTGGCGGGTTTTGGAATAATGTGGTTTAGATTGAATTCTATCTAGTTCATCGGGACTGTCCCACCTACTTTTCCTCTCTTTGTGTCTTTTTCTTGAAACATTTTGTGCCTCTAAGTTATGTTTACGTGGAGGACTCACATCACTATCACTATTTTGATATTTCTTTGATTGTTTCCTTGGTGGTGACAAAACTGTACCATAATCATTTCTTTTGTTTTTTGTCTTATTACTATTACTGTCCTTCATAGAAGTATAATCATTATTTTTTAATTGTGTATTTCCACTAGTTTCTTTTCTTCTGGGTGGACTAAAATCACTATCACTGGCACTCTGTTTTTTGGTTGTTATACCTCTTTTGTTATTTTTTCTAGGAGGGGATACATCAGAGTCACTTTTTTTTTCCTCTTCAGAGTCACTGTACATTTTCCCAAAAATTATTTCATTTTCTTTTTCAACCTCTTTAATATCTTTTTTAATTTCTTCAACTTGCAATTTTGTGTTGAAGCCATCGTCCTGAAAAGGTTAAATACTAATCATTATACTTAAAAAGTTTTTGTTATAAACAAATAAGGCTAGTTAAATAATTTGAGTATATATCAAAATATTAAAATGCATTTTACGTGTTACTAGAATACCTGAGTTACAACCCTCCACTTAGAACTACTTTGAAACAGTTCAGCTTTCTTTACTTCCTCGGGTCGTTCATCAATTATACCAGCTATTTGTGGAGCGTCTTCACCTTGATCTAAAATATCTAATTCATCACCCTGTAGCTCCTGTAATTTTGACAGATCAATGTCATCATCTATGATTTTAAATCTGAAACATTGGAAAGTTTAATAAATTTACAACCTATAATAGAGAGAAACCCTAAGGCGGACTAAATAAAATCATCTGGTTAGTTTAAGCATATTTGTTACAATCAATAAGTTAAATGTTGTCGACGTGTATCGTGTTTCACTATCATGTAAATATATAATGGTAAGATTACCTCTAATACATAAAATTATAATACATACCCTTTTCCTTTAACAACTTTCTTCTTCTTCTTTTTCTTATCCGAAGGACCATTCAAATATCTCTGAAGGTACGCTTTTTGATCTATTTTGGTCGTCATATTAAATTTACGTTAGGAATATCGTATTTTTCACTATTCACTCACAAAATAAAATACTGTTTATTGCTATAAATGAAATACAAATTAAAATGGGTTGTAGCTTGCATCACGTTTGATTATTTATCATTACTGTCATGTGTCAATGGCATAATTATGAAGCTGTCATGACAAGATCTTATTGACATTGACATTATAAGGTTATGCGAGTGTTCGATTACATATATTCATTTATCTATGACATCCCCTTTCGATAGATTATACGCAGAGGTAGAGGTTTGTTCTGGCTCTTTGTAATACGTAAAGTACGTACGTAAGTAAAGTGTAGGACCAAGATTCGTGCCACCATCTGTGTACTATATTTAAGTATATGAAAATAATTTAACATTTCGTCGTTTTTAATTCACTCGTCTGGTATAAAGGAAACACATAACCTATCAATTACAATTCGAATACAACGGTAATAAGTTATTTACAAATAGTTTTCGGTTGTTTTCTAGAAGTTGAATTTAGCGTGTAGTTTTTATTAAATGTTATCTTAAGATCACCCTCTTCATTTGAAAACAACATGTATTAAGGTTTAAATTTACTTTTTGCAATGTAATTATAGAAACCATTTCATTTTGTCTTTCTTTTTAAACATTATTATTATGTTGTTATTACATTCGTATTAAGCAAAGTTTTTTCCCAATTTGCTCCTAAGGTAAATTCGTTTAAACCTGTCCATAACCGTAATGTCACGTAAAAATAAGAAAACAATTCTCAACTGCAGTTAATTTATTGGCATATGCTCAGGTATCATTTAAATGCGACTTAGACTTAAAGAGGCTTATCCATTGTCCGTTTAAACTACAAAATATTCGGTTAATCTATTCATCATCGTCATCATCATCATCATCACGGTCACGCAGATCGCTTCGGTCGAGATCCCTCTGAAATAGAAAATAATATTATTATCTATTGCTAATACCGAATGAAGGATCAGTCCAAGAAGTCAGCCCTGTATTTCACCCTATAAGCTAAAAAACAGACTAGAATATGGCTAACAAAATATTTTTAAACGTCTAAATTATCATAATAAGTATAATATTCACGTTTGTAACGATGAATTGTTTAGTTCGCCAATTGAGATTAGTGAGAAATGTTAAATTATCTAATAGTTTTTTTTTTAATAAAATACGTCCTCTCTATCATAAGATTTATCTATCGTATGACATGAACAGCCAATAAGCTTTCTTTACTGTGATTGATTATTCGAGATATAAGTCAAATAATTCCGATTTCCTATACTTTACAGTACTCACCAATAGTACATATCCACTATTCTGTAACTGTATATTTAAATAATAAATACCACGCTTTCTAAACATAATAAAAATTATTAACAATGTTAATAAATATCCAAATATTTACTCACAAATTTGTTGGAATCCGAAAAAGACTTTGACAGAGTTTTTACTTTTACTGGCTGTAAATAAAAAAAGTTATTATTTTTTTATTTGTGCCAATGCACTTTATAGCTTATTTTCATTATAAAATGTACTTTACATTTTTTCGTAAGAGCGAACTAAAACATTGGCTTAAAGTGCACGTTTGAAAGCTATGATGACATGTATATGCTAGCTCAATTGGTAAAGCGGACATTTCTAATCGCTCTTCATATAACTAAAATTAATTTTAAACAAATTATGTATTAAATATTTATATGTCTATAGTTTACGCGATTGGTACACATTTAAATTAACACGCGACATTTATAATCGTTCTTCATATAAGTTTACTAAAATTAACGCTTTTAAACCGTTAAATTATGTTATGTAAATATTTCATATTTAACTCGTCAGATTATATTTACAGATACATAAATAACTTACCAAAACGTTTCCAATTGGTACGGCTCCCTATAATATAAGGTTTTATACGTAAAATAAGTAAGACTGTGTGGTGTTTTCTAAAAAGAATCTAAATAATTAGTATTCATTAAGCAAGTAAAAAAAAGTTACCGCTTTTGCTGAAGCAAATGGTACTGGTGAGGACTCTTTGTGCTGTAAAAAACCAAATAACACAAAAAAATAATAATAATGTAATATTATATAGACGTTTTGTGACCACAGCTGCACAGCATCCGAAACATCGGGCCGAAGTTAATATAATGTTGAAATAACTTTAACTAATATATATCGCGTTTTATTTAAATTAATTGACGTTTATAAATGTACCTACCTACATTGTTTTTTTATTATTTTTTATTTACTAACTAAAACTTAATACTCACTGTTCTGTCGCTATTTCCATTAGGCACGTACTAGAAAGAAGTAATATGATATTTAAAAACTCAATCTAATTAGCTAAAAATAATAAGTAGGTAATTAAAATACTTACGTATTGGAAATTAATGCTCTGCTAAAACAATGTTATCTCTTTACATGATTGTCTATCAACGCCATTAAATTAGAATATGGCAGTTATTTGAAACGGGAAAAATAAATCAGTGTTTACTTGTAAAATTGAAATTTATTGCGTACAATACTTTTTATTTTACGTGAAGAACAGACTAAGTATTTTCAATATAAATTCTAGTAGTTTACGTACGCCCAAATTATAAACGCTTGATCCAGGCAACTAGAAACAGAAATAGGTATATCATAATTTAATTTTATTTATTAAAAACGCAAATCGTTCTATTATTGCGTTATAAATCACTTAAATCATTATAATTTTCACATGTTAATGCAAATTAAAGCTTAAATAACGATTAAAAGTCACACGAAATTTGCCGTAGGTCCAAAGTTATTATTATACTTATTGCTAATAATCAATGGGCCATGGTTTCGATCCCCACCGAGTCTATAATGATCGTTATAAATGTATAATTTTTATTGATTTACATTTTGTCTGGAAATCTGTATATTAAAGTAGGAATATCGAAAATTTGGTTCGGGTCACGAAAAACAGTAATCAGTTAAGCTGTGAAGTTTAATCCCATTTTGGGTTTAGTTAGTGTAATTCCGTATATCCAAAGACAAAATAGGTCGACAGTGCACAGTTGATTTTCAATTACAAATTCTTAAAACTAATTAATCTTGTCAGAGAAATAAGTTTTAGAAGCTCACATTTCTAACAGTCGGTGGAATCTGCAAAAAAACATAGGATTAAATAAATATCATTATTGTATTATGTCTTTGAGCGAATTATATATCTGTGGTTAGAATGACTAGTGATATACAATGAATAAAACAGATTTTAAACGGCTTACAACGCGAATTATTCTAGGTTGTGATTATTTTTTAACAACTAATCTACTGGTTTGAGAGCCATCTCTAGTTCCATTGCGTAATTAATATAATTATTTGAATTTTTTAATGCGCTATGTACTTACATATGCTACTTTTAATACCTATAAAAATAGTATATTATGAGATATACATATGTAATGTTCGTTACTGAATTTAATTGTTATAATGATAAGGTATTAAGTTATTTTGTACTCACGCCACGACCTTTATACATCTAGGGAAAAAGAGGTTAATGAGTAAATTTTATTTACCACATTAGTTAAAATATTAAATTGTAATGTTAATTTACCGTAGCTAAACTGTCCAATTCTTTCGCCAGGGCGTTTAAGTTCGAATTCTATAAACAAAGAACATGTGTAGTTAAGTCTGTGGCCGATAGAATCGTTTAATCTTTGTGATATATTATTGTTATTTAATATATTATACTTAGTAAAACTTACGGCTTCAGCTTTCTGTCGAATTTTTTAAATATTAATTTTGGAAAGAGATGATGTATATTACTTTTAAATCATTTCACTTATATCAAATCCTCATGTGTACGTATCAGAAAGAGAATGAAGATGTAATTTTTTCACTCTTTAATCTACCCTCAGTTAATTTGTATTTTTTTCTTAGATTTAATAAAGATTTCTTGATCGAGTGCAATTTGCGAATGTAATACTACATATACTAAATAACGAGCAGAATTGAGGTCGCTAGAGCCAGAGTAGCCTAACTGCAATTGTATTTCTTGTTTTATTTATACATTGTGTTTCATAGCCTAAAAATGTTAAAAATTAATCTACAAGAGATACTACAGCGACCGAAAATCGTTAACATAATTCTTACACAAATAATAAGTAGGAATTCATTGTGCCAAAGTTAATTGCGCTTTTTTTCCTCCTTATTTAAAATCATGTTTTCTGTTATTAGGCCACTTTGGCTCTAGGAGTCAGTCACATGCTATAAAAATGACAAACTTTACCCTTAGTTGGTCATCATCGTCACGATCATCTCTGTCTTTGCGCACGTCATGCCTCTAAAAAAATATATTTTTGGTAAGTATCACAAAATTATTTTATTAATTAAAATATGAGCGTACTATTGTGCTACATGAGGGTCAAGTCAAACTATCATCGCATAAGGGATGCAAATATAATAGGTTCGATTACTACCGGGTTCAGATTATACTGGAGACTTAACGACATCACTCGGTGTCTATAAAAATTTCCACCCGGGTAAATTACACTGCATTTTCGAATGTCCAAAATAAAAAAGGCCGACAGCACATCTTTACTATGTGTAAGGTTTAAAACGCATCACTATCCAGTAATCTTTTTGTTTGAATTATTTGAAATACTTACATCAAAGGCGTCAAAGTGAACTGGTTTCTAAAAATTAATAAACATTATTCGTTGGTTTGATCATTTTAAGGCAAAAAAATTGCAATGTCATAAATTTATAAATATATTTTCATAATTACGGTATCATCGCGGTCATCACTGAGCTGGAATGAAGATATTTTTACACATTATAATTACATAATTTTATATTCCACGAGAAAAGGTTAGTTTGAAGTTTAAATTATTATTATTTTTAATTCTATAAACAATCCATGCTGTTTTAACTGTCCTTGACTAGCTGATAGGTTAGGTGTAATGTTACTAAAAATATAAGTTATTAAGTAATAAAAAAATACCTTTATATTAAGTTCTTGTAATCTTCTTC